GCTGGGACTGCCGCTGCTGGGACTGCCGCTGCTGGGACTGCCGCTGCTGGGACTGCCGCTGCTGGGACTGCCGCTGCTGGGTCTACCGTCGCAAGGAATACGACAGACACCACCACCATAACATCGCCCACTACGGAAACGACGACAACCACCACCACCAACCGCGCAGGAACCACAACCACCACCACGGAGAACGGCATCCCCATCCTCAACATCCAGCATCCCACCCCCACCCGCTCCCCAGAGCGCACGCGCTCCTCCGGCATCCTCACGCCGACCGGCCTGACCCGCGAAATAACCGGCAGCCAACCCGTCTCAGCCCGCAAGCCGGTCCCGCAACCCATCACGCAATCCCGCTCTACAGGCCTCACTGCCCTCCCCGTTTTCGGCTCCGATACATCGTCTCTCTACTCCAACGCGTCGAGCGTCGACGCCCCGTTCTACACGCCTGCGGAGCAGCGGTCGGATGTGCAGGTTGATCAATCTGATCTTGCGGAGTTGAAGCAGATGATTAATGAGACAGGGAGGGCGCCTGGTGAGGATGCGCGCCCTGGTTCTCATGGGGAGGATTTGGGGCTTCCGATTCAAGGGCCGAGGGTTGGGGAGCAGCAGGCGCCGCATGTGCCGTTGGAGGGTAGGGCTATGGGTAATGGGGCTCGGCCGGAGTCGAGTGTATTAGGTGGACGTTCGAATTGGTATGGGAGGGAGAGCGTGGATGGAAGGGGAGAGTTGCCGTAATGGGCCGGCCTGATACGATTAGCGATGTCTGGAGATGCATATGAGAAGCGCACATATTTACGAACATGGAACATGAGCAGATGGAATGAGATATGGACAGTCTGTACGAGTGGCGGAGGGGCATGGCATAATCAAATGCAAGACTTCACAACGGGATATCAACAGGAACGTCTCACAACCACTACCTTACACCCCCCACGAAAAGCCGTAATTCTTCCACGCGCCAGGCACGGCCTGCACCCCCAACGCATCCACCATAAACAATTGCTGCGCATACTCCCCCTGCCCGCAGACATGAATGTTCGCCACATACCCAAACAAATACCCCATCCGGGAAATCTGCTCGAAGCCGGAGAGCAGCAGGGCGTAGTTGAAGCGCGGATCGACGTTGCAGCCTGCGCGCGGCGGTTTCATCAGGCCGCCGATGTCGATGTTGACGATGAGGTCGCGGATGCGGATGTTGTTGGGGATGGCGGTCTCGCGGTGGAGGAGGGGCCCGTTGTGGCAGAAGTGGTTGAGGAGTTGGTAGATGGCTCGCGCGAGAGAGGCGGGGCCCTGGTTGTGTTTGGTTAGTAGAGGTCAATAGGCACGGATGGTGATGTGTCGAGAGCCGACTTACCCCTTCCGACCAAGGACCATTGCCAGTTTGAGCGGCTACATTGATGACAAGAGTGTGGACGAGGTCAGGTGAGCACGGCATTCGGCGCCACACGGCCTTTCGTATGGTCGTACTCGGATCTCCGTTGTAGATGTCGAGGTCCAGGACATATGTTCGATTCTCGACGCCTGCGAGGAAGGAAGAGCGGGCATGGATGGCCTTCAGATCCGCTCGTATGGTTTTGCATGTAAGCGCTAGGTTCATCCATGGGATGTGATGTGCGAGTCTCGCGGTGGGATTGGCAACGAGGGTCGCATGAGTGCCGCGTGTGGTGCAAGAATGTTGAATGTCGTCGAGGACGGTGCATTTTACGTCGAGATGGAGTAGAGTCAGGAGGTAGATCTTCTCACGCAACTCCGCGGGGAGCTGGAGGAAGGAAAGGTTTGGAGAGGCCATGTCGGTCGTGGTATTAGATTTGATATGCGTGATGTAATGTGATGAGGTAGGCGATCTCGTCGTCAATCGCCACCCAATGCCCGCACCGTCATTCCATCCTTATGTCAGCAATCGAGCTGCGAGGGTGTAAAACAGTGATGTAGCCGCGACCAATTGAAGACTAGACCGTCCACGATCACTTGACGGCCATGGAAGCTACTAAGCAGATGTAAGCTGAAAGGAAGTGACAGCCTTTGGCGCCGTTGATTGGATTCCACGCATCTTTGCCCAAATCGAGCCGTGGCAGCATTCAGCCCCGGGTCGACTCCATTGTACTTATATGAAACCATTGAGCCCATGGAACGATTTTCAGCCTCGCATAGTACCCTTTGTCGACTATCAAGAAGACCTGGATATCGTTTCCCCTGCACGAACCCCCCATAAAGACGCTGAAATGTCGGTAACGCACATCGTCCTCATCCATGCCGCACCCGATGCCGACCAGGTGAAACTGGCAGAGGTGCGATGGCAAGAAAGACCCCAAGGCCATGAAAGCAATCTGCTGAAACAAACCCAGGTATTCACCGCCACCGAAGCCCTCAAAGACACAAGCGTAAAGGATGGCAAGGGATATGTGAGATCCGTCACGGCAGGAGTCCAGAATAGCAAGTCGGGCAGGGGGGTGAGTAGAGTCAAGGGCATGTTTTTTTCCCTCTGCTGACTGGATCAAGGGCGGCATCACACACGCCATTGTCATCGAGTTCGACAGCGCAGCCGATCGCGACTACTTCGCCACCGACCCGGCGCACGACGAGGTGACGAGGATGATGCTGAAGATCATGCCGAGTGACATTGCCACTGTGCAAGTCATCGACTTTACTCCGGGCGTCTATTGAACGTCAACTAGGGAAGGGATGCGAAGAGGGCTCTAGAAGTGATATGTCATTAGCATCAAATGTCATTTTGGGGCATGTAGTGGATGTCGTTGCAGTCGTCGGTTTTGCTCGTTCCAAGTTGATGAATTCATGATCAAATCTAGTCTGCTTTTTGTCTACATTCTCTTCCATTCCTCGTATGGTCACTTCTATCCCCAGAGTATACATCCCTGGTATCTATTCTATTAGTCTTGCTTTGCGCCAATCTTCCCCAGCTTTTGTAAACCTCCCAGTGCGAGTATAACGATAGTGACGAAAAACGCAAAGATGGTCCAGAAGGATGCACGATATCCGTCCAAGAGAGCCGCAGCGGCAGACCTAGAGCCATCACCACTATGTTGCTTGTCCTGCGTGACGACAAACGCTGCAACTTGACAAAGGCCGATTCCCAGACTCCATCCGAATTGCGCCACCGTATTGAAGACCGCTCCCGCCAGCGCCTGCCGGTCTTCGGTGAACTCTTCTGATACCACCAGTAGCCCGATTGTGAACAAGACATCTCCAGAAATTGGCGCCAAAATCTGAGCCCAGAGTTCCATGTACCAGAAGGGCTGTTTGGGATCGACCAACCCCATCAGCAATGGTGCAATAGCACTCAACACGGAGGTGCCGACCACGGCCCAGCGGATGGGTGTTTTGTCGACAATGAGTCCCACCACCAGCTCCACTATGACCGCCATTGTCAGATTGGGAAGCAGCCGGAGCGAGGTGAAGATGGTCGAAGTATGCTGGATGTTTTGGAAGTACAAGCTCGAGAAGAGTTCCATTGCGTTGCCCGCGCCCCAAGAAAGCGTAACCATGGCACACATGCACGTGAACGCTTTCTTCTTCCAAAGGGAGTTGGGGATCAGTGGGGCCTGTCCAGATCGCTCTCGGTGCCGCATCCAGAGCGGGAAGGCAGCGAGGGCTACGAAGCTGAGGGCTAGGAGAGACGCATTCACGGCTTTGTGAATGTTCGCGGTATCGGCGCTCACCACGGCAAGCACGTAGCTGAGTAGCGCGAGGCCTGCCGACGCAAGTATCGAACCAATCCAATCCACCTCCGTCCGCAATCGCTGCATTTTCGACAGTTCCCCGGTTTGTCGAGACTTGTCTGTGGGCAAGATCCAGAATCCTGCAATGCTTGCCGCAACGCACCCCGCTGCAGCCAGGTAGAAAGTAGATCGCCATCCGGTTTTCTCAATCATCACCCCACTGACGACCAGCCCGGCGGAGAAGCCTAGCGGCTGCGAGAGGCCGAGACATGCAAAGCTCATATTTCTCCCTTTGCCGGCAGGCACGGCCGCCGTGACCAGGGCGACGGACGCTGGGAAGTGCATGGATATGCCGGTCCCCTGGAGCGCTCGAAACACAATGAGTTGGATGGGGCTTTGGGAGAATGCGCATGCTAGGGTGGATATGCTGAGAACTGCGGTTCCCACGAGATCGACAATGCGGGCACCCACGACGTTGGCCACGGCTCCAGAAAGCAAGATGGTGGCTCCCGATGCCAGACCGTACACCGACGACGGCCAGGTGTATAGGGCTTCAGGAATTGCCAACGATACAGCAATTGTCGGTAAGCCAACCGTGATGGCGCCGCTGGCGAAGCTGGCCATGAAGTTGATGGCGCATAGTTGGAAGACGACCGAAACCTTGTGAAGCTTCGAGCGAGCATGATCGGGGGTCACTTCGATGTCGTTTGGAATCGCATGGAGATGATCAATAGGGTCGCTTTTTATGGAAGCAGGGCGCGACTGCGGAGTCTCGGTGAGCGTCTCGGGATGTTTGGCACGAGTAAGCGGCTGTAGCTCGACTTCTACCATTGTTGCGGCCATGGTTCTTCAGAGCCCGATGGAGCTGGGCGGAGTTTGGTACAAAACATGCACATTCACCGGAGAGCGAAGGTGATGGAGTGCGGTGAGAGAATGCGGTGGGCTGACATGGCGTTGTGGGTAAGAGTCATAGTGGGCGGTGCGGTCGGCGGCAGTACTTAATGTGGGTCGCCCTACTGCGCCGAACTTCGAGACACTGCGGTACCTGAAGACCTTGGCAACTTACCGCTTTGTCAACCAGGAGGGGGGTTCAGTTTCAATGGCAGAAGACTGGGGCAGCCGCGGTGTCGGACAATTCCTCTCCGACCGCTTCAGCAAGCCGGAGGGACCGATCGATCCCACCCTCCATCGACTACGTACGCCTTTCAATGTCTGCATCGTCGGTGCTTCTCGCGGCATCGGAGCCGGAATAGCTACCAGTTATGCCAAAGCCGGAGCCAGCGGCTTGACCCTCGCCTCGCGCAGAATCTCCGGACTCGAAGAGACCGCCAGGCAATGCAGAGATATCAACTCCGCGGTCGACATTGACATTGTGGCTTGCGACATCACCTCGGCCGCATCCGTGGCCACACTGGCGGAGAAGTGCAAGGCGAAGTTCGGCGACCACTTGGACGTTGTGGTGGTCAATTCTGGATACTCCGGCCCTGTCAAGTTGAGCGTCCTCGACACCGACCCGGACACGTTCCAAAATGCGATCAACGTCAACTACGTTGGCACCTTCTTGTGCGCCAAATACCTGATCCCTCTTCTACTCGCAAACGCCACAGGCGCAAGAGCATTCATCGCCGTCAGCAGCCTGGCTGTTTGTCTGGTACGAGGACCAATTGCAAACGCGCAGTACTGTGTCAGCAAGGCTGCGCAGCTAAAGCTGATGGAAAACATCCACGAACAATTCTTGCCACAAGGCCTTCAAAGCTTCAGCGTGCACCCCGGGGCGGTGTTGAGTGAGATGGCCGACGAAACTGTGCCGGATGCCTTCCGACCCCATCTGACCGATAGCACGGATCTGTGTGGTGCTTTCTGCGTATGGCTCACCCGTGATGCGGCGAGCAAGCAATGGCTCAGCGGTCGATTGCTCAGTGCGACGTGGGATGTTCGAGAGATAGAAGCGAAACGAGAAGAGATTGTTTCCAAGGATCTGCTGAAGTTAAAGGTCCAGGTGGTGTAGTGCGGCAGTGCCAGACAGTTCACCAACAGAGTATAGATCCTTACACAGAGAAGGCTCGACGAGTCTAATACTTATCAGTGTATTCCTTTATTCAAGCTACTCCCCGCCATTTCCCCATCGAAGGCACGTGGAAAGTGGGGAAGCTGGACAAAAGCCTAATACAACCTCTTCCCCCACCTTATCTCGACGGCCTATCACCTTGCTCTCGTGCATGCGGGACGGAATTGACACGCGGCTTGGAGAGAGAAGTATGTTTGACATGCTTCTATTATCTTTGTTTCATCTCTCCAACTTCCCAACGTCTCAGTCATGCTAGAAGTTGCTCCCATTGATTCGTGACGCAGCCTTGCGGCATGGACATCCTCTTTCGCCACACGATCCTGGGTGAAGCTGTGCGGCGCCTCAATGTTTCCTACGTCAACTTCTCCGAAGAACACGATGCAGCTTTATTGAAGCGTCTTGTCAATGCGCGGCCTCAACCTGACAATGCAGACGAATACAGCGCCTTGCTGGCAGATGCCGAAAGTACCGATGGGTCGAACGGTCTGCTCGTGGAATGGTGTGGGCCGCAAGATACTGAAGCAAGACCCTCCCTGTCATGTCTTGACAAAATGGTAGCTGTAGCACTGACATGGAAGTTCAGAACCCCGAAAACTGGCCATTGGCAACGAAATGGACTGTGACTGGAGTCATGTGCGTTGTGACCGTAGCGATGTACACCGGCTCCGCGTTCTGGTCCGTCTGTATCGACGATGCTGTCAAACGATTCGACATCTCTGAAACCGTGGCGCAGCTCGGTCGGTCCGCGATCACGGCATTAACCGCAGCACTGATCTAACACTCGCAGGCACATCGCTCTTTGTCGTCGGTTTCGGCCTGGGTCCGATGGTCTGGAGTCCCCTGAGTGAAATGCCATCCGTTGGCCGACTCAAGGTGTACTTGTGGACAGCCGTGATTTTCATCGCTTGTCAACTCCCAATCCCGCTCTCCGACAACATCGCCGTGATTCTCGTCTGCCGCTTCCTCACCGGCTTCTTCTGTTCACCGGTTTTGGCCGTTGGCGGGGGCACTGTGGCTGATATGTTCGGCCCTGCGACGATCGGCTATCCCATGGCATGCTGGGAACTTGCAACCTGGGGTGGCAGTGCCGTGGGACCCACCTTTGCTGGTTTCACGTTCGATCGATTTGGATACAAAGGTCCCATGTGGGAGTTGGTGTTCCTTGGAGTCCTCGGCCTCATGTTGATCATCTGCCTCATCCCCGAGACCTTGCCGGCCACGATCTTGCATCACCGTGCGCAACGACTCCGCAGAGGCCACCCGCACAAGACGTTCGTCACATACAGTGAGCTGCAAGAAGACCGAACTTCTCTGTTTGCGACAATGCGAGGATTACTCGTCAAAGCTCTGGCGTTGAACTTCCACGAGCCGATCGTCTTTGTGCTCAACTTGTACGTCGCTCTTGTCTTCGCCATCTTCTTTGGAATGCTGGAGTCGTACCCGTATGTCTTCAAGCAGGAGCCGTACAACTTCAACACCGGTCAAGTCGGTCTGGTCTTCCTGGGCATCTTCGCCGGAGGCTTCGTATCGATGATCGCCTACTTCATCTTCCTCTGGAAGCACCAAGACCATTGTTTCGATGAGAACGGCAACATCACTCCGGAAGAGAGACTCCTTCCCGCCATTCCTAGTGGCCTCTTCGTGCCTCTGGGACTCTTTTGGTACGGATGGACCACCCACATCCACTGGATCATGCCCACTCTGGGAGGCTTCTTCTTCGGGATAGGCATGTTCACGATCTTCATGAGCATGTTGTCCTACCTGCCAGATGCGTATCCATCATACGCAGCGACCGTCATTGCTGGCAATTGTCTGATGCGCGCAGGCCTTGCCGCTGCGTTTCCGCTTTTCATCATCCCTTACTACGAACTCTTGGGACCTGGCGTTACCTCTTCGATTCTCGGCGGACTGGGGGTGTTGTTCATGCCCTGGCCACTATACCTGTTCTACCGCGGACACCAGCTCCGCATGCGAAGTCGGGAGGCGAGGAAAGACATCTGACTGATGGCTGATGTGCAACGGCTTTGGTTGAGCGAAGTCGCACTGGGCATCGCTGCTTACTATCGGCCGGTTTGGGTCGATCTGACACACGCGTGATTGTGCAGTTGAGTGTTTTCTTTTGAGCCGTACTTTTCCGCAATCTATTATCTCATTGCCTGATGCTACAAGCAGTTTATATGGCAGCAGCTGGTGGTTACCGGTCCGTTGCCCTCACAGTTGGCGCACAGCAAAAGACGAGACGACGCTCTAGACCATGGGGCACGGCCCGGACACCGCAGCTAAGGCCCTTGGTGGAGTGCGGCTGCGCGGCGGTCAAGGATCAGGCTGATGAGGCCTGCACGCATGCAGTATAAAGATGCGAATGGCGAGGCCGGGTAGCATCGGCCCTCCTGAATCCCACATCACGTGCGCAGCCTCTCGCTCCTCCCACGCGGCGCGCTGCTGATTCCGGCCAGACCAATCACAGCGCGCGTTGCCATTTCGATATGATAACCACACTCCCACTGAGGCCGGAACAAAACCGGCCACGGGCTATATAGGCGCGAATTCCTGCGAACGCGACGCAAAACCTTTCCCCGACATTGAGGAAATTCGAGTTGCCCATCAAAACTTTTGCCCCCCCGCCAGGAGAGCGCTTTTGTCTCACATCACGTGACCTTCCCTGCCTTGTCCTACCCTGTCACAACAACATGAGTCCTTACTTGTCCTCACACCCCGCTGAGGACCACGATGCAAAGCCAAATGACTTAAGAGAGAATTTCCCCTTCATTGAAGAGGACCCGCTCACCGTCCCGTCGTCGGAAGATCCCTTCACCATCACCACCGCAACGGGCTTCCTCCCTCTGAGGACGCCGTTAATAAATCTGCCCGCTCCATTCCTGCCACTGACCAAGCTCGCCGACGAACTTCCCGTCAAGAAGCTCGACGGTTCGCCTGGTTTGTTGGCCACCTTCCAACTCGGCCCTGTCATCGACAAAGGCGAGGCGTTGCCAGACCTCGTCGACGAGATCGACAGCCTTGTCACCGCTGATGGCAAGCCGGACCTCGACGCCGTCACGGCGGTCTTCCGAGAGTATGCCTTCATCGCGTCCTCCTACCTTCTTGAGCCTTGCTGGGAGAGGTGGTGCCAAGGTTTGGAAGGATACGGCTTGGGTCGTCCTGTCTTGCCCAAGGTTGTCGCTGGCCCGCTCGTGAAGACGGCGAAAATGTAAGCAATTGATCCCTACACACCATGGTCAACGCATACTAATGATTGGCAACAGGTTGGATATCCATCCCTTCATGGCCTACGCCGCTGCCTACACCTTGTACAACTACCGCTTCGAGAACAACTCGATTGGTCTGGATGAGTACAAGAACCTTCGATTGATCCGAGCCTTCCAGCATGGTCTCGACCCATCCTCATCTGAAGCCGGATTCGTCTTGACGCATCTCGACATGGTCAAGCACACCGGAGGCTTGATCAAGGGCACGACCGACATCCTCAACGGTATCAGCACCGGCTCGGACCGTGACCACGTCGTCGCCGGCTTGGAAACGATGTTGCAGTCCATGCGTTTGATCGAGGCGTCCATGGAAACCATGTGGGAGAACTCCAGACCCAAGGATTACAACACCTACCGCACATTCATCTTCGGCATCAAGAACCAATCCATGTTCCCCGACGGAGTGATCTACGAGGGTCAACTCGACGGTCGGCCCCAGTACTTCCGTGGCGAGTCGGGCGCGAATGACAGCATCATCCCTCTGATCGACAGCCTGTTGCAAATCCCCATGCCCGCGAACCCCCTCACGGAGATCTTGAAGGACTTCCGCAGCTACCGACCAAAGCCACATCGCGACTTCCTGGCCTACGTGCGCTCCCGGGCCGAGGCGCTCGGTGTGCGCGACTACTTCTGCGGAAACGTGGACACCGCGGTGCTGTACCTGCGCCTGCTGGACCACGTCCGCAGCTTCCGATGGCGCCACTGGCTGTTTGCCCGCGAGTACATCATCAAGCTCAGCAAGCACCCCACAGCCACTGGCGGCAGCCCGATTGTGACTTGGCTGCCGAACCAGCTGTTGGCCGTAATGGACCTGATGGCGCATGTCTGGGGTGAAATTGGGCCGGAGGACCGCGCGAAGCAGCCCAAGTTTGTGATTGAGATGATGGAGAATGCGGCGGACCAGCGGACCAAGCTGGACAAGGAGGTGGCCAAGTATTGCCAGGAGAGGCAAGTGCCTAATGAGCGACTCATCTCGACTTAGATAGATGCGCGGTGTTGGTGGTGTGGTGTCTGCAAGGTACAATAGATCTTGAGCGCGGAGTTTCTTGGAACGAATGCATCCGCATCTTCATCCTCATCCATTTCATTCGCAGCCTATCGTGACTGTCCAGCGGTTATCTGCTCGCCTCATTGGTGATAATCGAAAAGCAAAAGACATTCCTCACATGAAGCCGTTGAAGCTTCGCATTACCCAAACCCCCACCAAGCTTAATCCAATATATACGTTCCTAGTCTTGTCCTTCACGCCCATCCGTCACTTCATCCTCTGCTTATAGCACGTAGCGGTACAGCGGTGATTTGTCGCCCAAGAGCAGGAGTTCGTCTATCGGTAACATCAGCACCGGTCATGCCGAGCGAAAGCACATGGATCGACTTACCTTCGGTGTACTTGGCCCTGATTTCTGCCTCTGACATCCGGTCTCTCTTGTCATTCGCACTCTTGTAGAAGAAGCGCAAGGCCAACGTAGCGACGATGCCGGTGCACACGCACGCGAGACTGAAGCCGTAGCCCAGCCAGTAGCGCGGCGCTTCCTGCTCGAGGTAGATGTTCGAGCCGACCAAGCCTCCGGCGTTGGCGAGACTGATACCGAGCGCAATACCGATTGCACGCTTTGACGTTGGGGCGAGGTTGGCGCCGAGCCAGCCGACCATGGTGATGACTCCTGGGTAGCAGCCCTACAACAGCGCGTCAAATGGTCAGCGCACATTTTATAAGACCGGGACACATCACTTACACCAGGGATGAAGAACAAGAATGCGTAGGTCAATCCAGGGAGCTTGGGGTGCGGAATCGCCAGCAGACCGACGAAGCCGATCACGGCGAAGCAGTAGGGGAAAACGATGAATGGCCATCGAATACGGTAGTGATCGGACATTCGAGTGGCTACGAGAGTGGTGATGGCTGCGAGCACGTAAATTGGCACGACCAGGAGCTGTGCGTTGGCTGCAGTGTAGCCGAGATCGGCCACGATCTTGGGGGCAGTGAACGCAAAGGCGTACGTCGGCACACTATCGATCAGTTGGTCAGCTAAAGTTTGACTGGAAGTCAAGGCAGGATGCGCGTACGTTGTTCCCCAGAAGATCAAGATGGCGAACCAAATCTTCCAGTCGAGCATTGCGTCCTTTAGCGCGCCCCAATGGAACTTCTCTTGGACCGCGACTTTGCCAGCGGCTGTGCCAGAGTCTTGCGAGAGTCGGTTTTGGAGGAGTTCCTTTTCCGCTGGGGTGAGCCATTTCACTCGGTCAGGCGAGTCTGGGAGCACGAATGGCACGGCGACACCGGCAACGACGGTGATGATGCCCTCGATGATGAAGATCCAGCGCCATCCCGCTTTGCCTCCTAGGCCGTCCATGAATTGCAAACCATATGCCAAGAGACCTGAGAAGGCTCCGGCGCTGGATGTCGCCAGGTAAAAGATTCCAAAACGGGTCTGGATCTCGAAACGACAGTACCAGATCGTGAGGAGGAACGCTGCCGCAGGGAAGAAGCCGGCTTCGGCGATACCAAGGATGAATCGGACGGCATAAAGTTCTTCGTGGGTGGTGACGAAGCCCTGGAATGTGACAACCTGGGCGGGGTCAGGATGTGTGTCGTTGGCTGGAAAGGCTCGATGAACATACCAGTCCCCAGGCAGTCGTAATGATGCCGATCCACCAAGAAGGCCTCATATGTTTGAGGACAATGTTGGCAGGTACCTCGAAGATGACGCTGAATGCGAAGGTCAGCATTTATGCTAAATGGGTCGAATCAGGCTGCTCATTGCAGGCTGTACATACTAGGGAATGAAGAACAACTGGAGGCGTGTTAGTATGGCTCGTTCAGATCATGAGGTACGACGATATTTACTCACGGTAAGGGCAAGGTTGTACTGCCCACCAGTGAGGGCGAGATCCTCGTTCATGCCCGCAATGGCGGCATTACCGATGTTGCTTCTGTCGACGAACGAGGCGAGGTAGAGGAAGGTGAGCATTGGCAGGAGTCGCCAATCGATCTAGGAGCAGGGTCGAGATGTTGGTATGTTGCATTGATGATGGACCATGAAGCGAATGATTAGGACCGCACGCACCTTTCGCCTAATTCTGCGCACTTCGGCATCGTCGTAGACTGGCTGACCTGACGCATCGACGGCGTGCTCGGGATAGGCAGCGGGAGCGGACCCCTTTTCCGAGCCCATCTGAGAGTTGGAGGAGCTGGAGACGCGAGTTAGCATCGAATCGCATGATAGCATTCAAGAAAGACTCACTGGATGTCCTCGACAAGGCCCGGTGATTTCTCCATTGTGCTGGATCGTTTCTTGCGACGTTGTGCAGAGTTTGCTGACCATCCCCAGATTTGCAGGCGTTGATATTGGTATATAAATACGGCGCTACTCCAGCTTCTCCAGATACGCCTAGACCTACCAAGACCTGCCGAGACACGTGAACCGCGGAGAATGGGGTGGCTATGCAGTGTTGACCCTCGGTGACTATCGAGGCATCACCTCGGTGAGCCAGCTTGATGCTGTTGTTGTTGTACATGGCTTGATTGTGCCGGGTATGGAGGGAGAGAGCGAAGAGATGGCTGTTGGCATCTGGCCATGGCGATATGTAAGCTGGGGAAGGGCAAAGACATGCGACTTGCCTTTTGTGCATGAGGAACAGCGTGCATGCATCCACGTGATGTTCTGCAATCGTTGTGTATGTCATTGCGGCTCTGCAGGGTGATGAAGTCGCGCCAGCTTAACCACAGTAAACGTGTGAGTTGTGATACTCGCGTGGCAGCAACAGGGTGGTGTGGGGAGCGAGGGAGCCCAAGGAGCGGCAGCCTTGGCCGCCTCGCCGTTAACTTATGCGGGGTACGGGTCCGGTAACTAGCCACATCCGGGGTACTGTTACTGCCTGAGGCTTGAAGTGTCTCGACCCTGTCGAACGGCAGGCCGGCGCGCCCACTTCCGCGCCTTGTCGTATCTCTTGTGCCTTTCTGAGACGCGAGCTACGTGTCTTCTGTTGTGCCTCCCAACCTACACGGCCGATTCATTCGGTCTACGTCTTTCGCATGTGATGCTTACGCGCGTGTGATGCGGCAGAACAGACAGTTCCGCGCCTCGGTGCTGCGATGACGCTTGCATCTGCCCCAAACTTGCCTGAAGCCCCTTCGAGGATTCAGGTTGCAATCCACGCACGCACTGAAGCGGAGCGGACTCACGACTTCTTCCGCTCAGTTTTGAAGTGGTCACCATGACGGCATGGGCAAGCGCGTCATGGAAAGATGGTGCTGTAGTTAGTATATATATGTTCCATACGTCTCACAGCCAGCCAACTTCTCAATCATCCACGACCATCACACTCCAAATCAGTTCCTCAAACACCACCCAAAGAACCAATCCACCACCAACACTTCCATAATGGCAACCAACGACCGTGGCCAGGGCGCATCTCACGCCTCCGACTCCGTCTTGCCCCAAAAGGTGCAGGAGAAGGTTCCCAAGTCAGTCGAGGAGAAGGTTCCAGACTCTGCACACGACACGGGCAGCAACAAGCAAACCGGCAAGGTCTCCCACGCCACCGGCGAATCCAAGGTTCCGCAAGCACTCCAAGAGGGACTTCCCGAGAGCGTGGAGAAGGCGGTGCCGAATGCCCTGCACGACACCAAGGGAGCGAAGTTCAGCGATGGTAGCGTCGGCACCTAAGGGACTGTTCCTTGATACAGCGGCAGGACAGGATAGAATCAGGAAAAGAGGGCTGTTGTAATTGTATTACAGATGAATTGCAGACGTTTGTCACGTGTAGCCCGTAAAGCTTTGACGTCTCCGACCTCTTCCACCAAACCCGATTCATCGTAGCGTCTCCAAATCCCCAGCCTCATCTACAGCTCAGCTGCGGTGAAGCAGCATTGAGAATATCGAAGTTCTTCCCTCATGATTGATCGTCGTCTCATTCACTGTGTCCATTTACCCACGCAGCGGGAATCACAAATACCTCAAGCAGAAAGAGACAGACAGCGTTCGAGCAAGTAGCACAACCCCACCGCCATACTCGGCGGCACACAACGACGCCACCACTCCACCCCAATCGCAACCGACAATGGGCCTCTTCGACGGCCGCTCAGCCTCCTACTCCGAAGTCCGGCGCAAAGCCTCCCCAACCCGCACCGCCAGCGGCACGAGCAAAGGCTACTTCGTGCGCCCGCACGTCTCCTCCTCCTCCTCGCGCTCCAGCAACTCCTTCTTCAACTTCGGCGGTGGCAGTCGGGGCTTCGGTTTCGGCTCCGGCTCCTCCTCGTACCGAAGATCGCCGCGCGCGGGCTATATCAAGTATTTGTGGGCACGACTGCAGCGTATGGTGAGGGAGTTGTGGGCGTATGCGCGACGGCATCCCATGAAGGCGTTCTTCGCTGTCGTGGTGCCGCTTCTTAGTGCCGGGGGTGCGATTCATGGATTGATGAAGCAGTTTGGGGTACAAGTGCCGGGAATGGATCTTGGGGGTGCGCGAACGATGCGAGGAGGGTATTATGGGAGTGCGGGGTATGGTGGTGGAGGAGGAGGCTGGATGGATAATGCTGGAAGTTTGCTGCAGGTTGCAAAAGCATTCATGTGAGGGCATGAGGAGGGAATGGGAGACTTGAGAATTATAATGAATCTAATTCACACGACATATTGCAGGATATGACATTCGGCTTCAAAGGGTATCGATTCACTGGGTACTTCGATTGATCTGGACCCGCTTGTCCTCTCCACCGCTGACAATGCCCACATCTCGATCCCAGCATACGCCAAAGACTTTCAATCCCTCTCCCGCGTTCGTCTTGGGCTGTCCTTTTGCACTCTCTCGATCAATCACGTAGACGCTCTCTCCCACTCGATTGGTGCCCGCTTCCAGGCTGACGGATCGGATGTCCCAGATCCGACACGTGCCATCGTGACTGCCGGATACGAATTGATGCGATGAGTTGGGGTCGGGAGAGAGTGAGACGACAGCGTTCGTATGGCCACGAAGAGTCATGGTGGTGATGCTTGTTGCCGAAGCTCGCGGGTCGAGGAGGGTGATGGAGCGATTCGCGGTGCCCGTGGCTATTAAGCCAGCTTCCGGTAGATGACAGACACTGAACAGACTGTGAGGCGTGGTGCGAGTGTCAACACAGGTGCCGGTTGTGAGGTCCCACGTCTTCACTGCATGATCCCAGGAGGAAGAGTATGCTACAGTAGGGTCTTTTCCATCGAAGCAGACGTCGGATACCTGGCCCTGATGGCCTTTCAGTAGGTTCAGTGGGCCTCTTTGCGATACGGGCTTGGAGTCGGAGACTTTGCGGCGTTTGTTGGCTGTGGGAAGGAGGGTTTCTGACGCAGCGGGGGATTCCCGCTTGCTCGTGCTCCAGAGACCGACGGTGTGATCCGACGAGGCAGAAAGAATCCTTGATGACGGCGCATGAACGACGAGGTTGTCGATGGACGACTTGTGTCCGTACAGCTCTAATGTGGGGCTGAGAGATACGGCGCCAGTCTTGGTGTCGTCGTACTTCCATATTCGTATGGTTCTGTCGACACTAGCGGAGGCGATCAGAGAGGGGTCGACGAATTTGACATCCTTGACAGCAGCAGTGTGGGCTTGACCGGTAGCGACAACTTCTGAGCTCATGTTCCAGATCCGAAGTAAGCCATCATAAGAGCCCGATAATATCCTTTCGGGAACAGTGCTGGCTTGGTTGTGAGTTAACGAAGATGCAGCATGGGATGAAGCGGAGAGCACGTCGACAGAAGAGACACAATCGTCGTGTTCGTAGCTCGTGGCATAGAGAGGAGGGATGAGAGCCTGGAGGTACTCGATGGATAGAGTCGTCTCGCCGCTGATACCATTCCGAGATAGAAACTCGTCCAGCGAGGTGCGTAGAAATTGGCCATTGATCAGGAACTCAAGAGGAATGGGCTGTTGGGTGTCGAGCAGGCGATTGACCAGAGTGGATAGTTGGTATCGTCGGAATTCTAGGCGGACTGTCAATATACTCCATCATTCATGATGCGCCTGTGTAAGGCTTACCAGTCGAGACCAAAATTGGGCCGGTGTCGGGAAGATGGATGTCGGGGTTTTGGGTGCGCAGGTGGATGCGCACCTGCGAAGTGCTCTGCTGTGCCGGAACGGTCATGGTTTGCGTGGCCATGATGTGGCGACAGAGAGAAATGGTCAAAGGTCATGCGTCTCGTGCTGCCGTGGAAGTGGTAGAAAATCTTCAATAAACTTTCCGGCAGCCGCAGCTCGGCGCCTGAGGCTTGGGCTTGGCATTTCACATGAAGAAGGAACGCGACGGGAGGGCAGGCAGTGACGACAGATGCCCAACCGTGGGAGGTTGCTGGCATGTGATGCTGCAACCAAGCATCCCTCCTCTCCACCCTGACTGATTGTACGCAGAAATCTCACATCTCCTGCATCTCTTCCCCTCTCTCCCGTGCATCTCTCCCATTTTCCCCTTCATCCATCACTTGCTCGCTCGCCGGCCAAGCCTCCGGACTATTGGCCCTGACGAAATTCCGTCCCGCGGGCCTTCGCGTGACCAAACTCTAAAATTGCAGCCAGCTAAGGAATTAGCGACATGAACCACCACCGCCGCCTGTCTCCCTCCTCTCCTCCCTCTTCATCCCCCTCCTCTCCGCGTCTGCAGCCGCCCCTTCTCGACTCCGACGAGGATGATTATGAGCAGATCACCATGAAGCCCAAACCTCGTGCCGCCTTCGAGCTCTCCTCTCCCCCACCCTCGGAGCCTCCCACTCCCTCTGCCAGCAGCCCATCCGCCACAACGTCATACCTGCACGCCCAAAATTCATCACAAATGGACGAGAGCGCGCCCCCTTCGCGCACGCGGAGCTTCATGAACCTCACCAGCTCCACGCTCTTCGGCATTTTTCAGCCCGGCGATTACCACAACCCCGACCGCGACGAGGCTGCCACGCCATGGGGCACCGGAGCCCAGACGCCAGCTCACGGCCGCACAAGTCAGCTCGACATGTCACGCGTCGACAAGGTCCTGGGCAACGGAACCACCTCTTTCAAGTCTCGGCGGAAACCAGTTGCCCAATCACGCACACATCGTCAACCCCCGAAGGGCTTTCGAGGCTACTTTCTCCCCCGCTTCGGTCGTGTGATTGCCCTCTACGCTACCGGCTTGCTTTACAGCCTATTGATCACGCATCTCCACGACAGACAAGCGCTTGCGCCGACCAAAGTTGACATCAACCGCTCCAGTTGGACATACTTTACCTGGTGGGGCTTGACGGGCGTCGCACTCGGGGAAGCACTGCCCTGGGTAGACACCTTCTGGGCGCCGGAGGATGAAGAAGAGGCGGAGCACGAACGTACTCGGAGGGCAAAGGACAGCAAGCGTGCTCGCAATACCAAAGGACAACAAGATGCGTGGATGGATGTTGTGCGCTCTATCGGCGCCTTTGTCGGCGTGGCCTTTGCCATTCGCAAACTCCCCTGGCAGTCGACCCTTCAACTCTCCCTCACTTTGGCCCTGGCAAACCCTGCCATCTGGTTCATAGTAGACCGCTCACCGCCGGGATTCGTCCTATCAACAATCTTCTCGTTGGTCGGCACACTCTTTCTTCTCGGCATGAACCCCGCGCTCGTTCCATCGCCCTCGCCTGCCGAGGTTCTTCGCGCCCACGTCCAGCGCAACGGCGGATCGGTGACGCGTCTGGCGAGTGCTTTGGGAAATGAGGACTTGATCTTGGGCATTTTCACCCAAGAGTCTGTGGGTGTGGCCACGTGGATTGCAAGCGTTTTGTTCGTCTCTTCCGTCTGCTTTGGCAATATTGGAAGGCGGCTGGCCCTTTAGTGGTAGGACAGTCATGTAGTTTTGGAAATGCTGAACGGTCGTGGTCGTACAATCACCGTCAGGCTTGATGATGTTGCCGTTGACGTGGCTTTAAGCCCAACTTCTTCCGTAATGTAAAGAGACGCTGTCGAACGGCGGAGAAGGTGCGCTCAGGAAAGTGGATGGCGATACTCCGATCGGGCAACAACTGTCGCCATAGTCGAATCAGCTGCTCGTCCTCTGCCGACGTCCATCCTCCAAAGCGTGGCACCGTGGGTCGATCCTTGCGCCCACGCGTCCGGGCTTCGTACAATGACTGAACAGACCGCGCACTCCGGCGCAACTCCGCTGCAATCTGGCCCCATGGCATGTGCTTCACACCTCGCAGGTGCAACAGGCGCGCGACTTCCGTCGGCGTCCAGCGTTGGAAACCCTTGCTCTCCTGCCCTAGCTTCATCCGCGGCTGCAACGCTGTCCGATAGCGATCCTTCAACGCCGTCGTTCCTTTTGGAGATGGCATGTTGGGACTTATCACGTCATATTTCATGCGCTTTTGACGGAGTTCTCGCAGTCGGTCGTCGTCCTCGGGGCTGAATCGGGAGACAAATGGCTGTAGAAGCCGGCCGTGTTCATCGCGAGGCGCTATCTTGCCCCAGCGGAGCTGCAGCGCGGCCGTTGTGTCTCTGGAGGGCAGAGATGGAAGGATGTCTTCCCAAGACTGGTGCTGCGATCGCAGGTGGGTGAGAATAGCGTCTTCCTCTCGCGTCCAGGGTTGTCCGATGGCTAGCTTGCGGTTGGTGTATGTGAGCTGCCGGCGGGCGGGTCGAAGCAAGGCGTAGAGGCCTAAGTACGTGTCTCGGCGGTGAAGAACGTTCTCCAGACTGCCATGGAAGCAGGGGAACATTGTGGCTAGACGAGAAGGACTGAAAGTTTTGGGAAAATCGTCTGGTCGAATACGAGAGGCTGGAGGAAGAGCGCATCCTCCCCCGTTCAACGAAACGGCCAAGTCGTCCAGCAGCCCCTCGTCGACTATGCACAGGAAATCATGAACAATTCGATTCGGAAACCATTCGAGGCATTGTACCCTGTTCAGCCTAACCTCTTACAGGAGCGTGCATGGCAGCGGGAGTGGATTGGGATGTTGATGTGACGGCGGACCTGAGCTCGCATTTAGAGTTTGACGCCAGCATCGGGAGTGGCCGAAAGCTTAATTGCGATGATGTCCCGCCAAAAATTTGAGGGATTGAGCGACGTTGGGCAGCATTGCGAGCACATCACACTGCAACAATGGCTAACTTGGGCGCGCAAAAGATTGGTAGGTGATGATGGAGATTACATCGTTCACTCTTGTTCCCGCGCTGACTCTTCCTGGACAGCCATTCTGTCGGTGTACGACAAGACGGGTTTGCTCGACCTGGCCAAAGGGCTGGTCAAGCACAACATCCGCCTGCTTGCATCTGGTGGCACGGCCAAATTGATCCGCGAGGGTGGCTTTCCTGTCGAGTAAGAAGCGCGCCCACATCCCTCCTTGCTCCCGCTGACGACATTGCGCAGAGATGTTTCCGCCATCACCAAAGCCCCCGAGATGCTCTCTGGCCGAGTCAAAACCCTCCACCCCGCCGTCCATGCCGGCATCCTCGCCCGCAACCTCGAGTCAGACGAGAAAGATTTGGCAGATCAAAACATCAATAAGGTCGACTATGTCATCTGCAACCTATACCCCTTCAAGGACACCGTTGCAAAGATCAACGTCACCATCCCAGAGGCTGTCGAAGAGATTGACATTGGTGGGGTTACGCTGATTCGAGCGGCGGCGAAGAACCACAACCGAGTCACGATTCTGAGCGACCCCGAAGACTACCACGATTTCCTCAACCAGCTGAACAATGGGGAGGTGCCGGAGAAGAATCGTCAGCTGTACGCCCTCAAGGCTTTCACCCACACCGCAGACTACGACGCCGCCATCTCAGACTTCTTCCGCAAGCAGTACGCTAGTGGCGGACTGCAACAGATCAGTCTGAGATATGGCACCAACCCGCATCAGAAGCCCGCCGCCGCGTACACCACCGACATGGACCTTCCCTTTAAGGTGCTCAACGGCGCACCGGGCTACATCAACCTTCTGGATGCGCTCAATGCCTGGCCTTTAGTCAAGGAGCTCAGCGAGGCCCTCGACTATCCTGCTGCTGCTTCCTTCAAACATGTCTCTCCCGCTGGTGCAGCCATTGGCGTTCCTCTGAGCGACGTCGAGCGCAAAGTTTACATGGTCGATGATATTGAAGGCCTCGCCTCTTCTCAACTAGCTCAAGCCTACGCCCGAGCACGAGGAGCAGACAGGATGTCGTCTTTCGGTGACATGATTGCGTTGTCCCACGAAGTCGACCTCCCCACCGCGCGGATCATCAGCAAGGAAGTCAGTGACGGCGTTATTGCACCCTCCTACGACTCCGAAGCCCTTGCACTCCTCAGCAAGAAGAAAGGTGGCAAATACCTCGTCCTGCAAATTGACAGGGCCTACACCCCACCCGCACAAGAAAACCGCACCGTCTACGGCATCCATCTCACCCAACATCGCAACGATGCCACAATCACCCCGCACAACACCTTCAACACCATCATCGTTCCCAAGGAATCGGCTCCTCTCCCCGAGTCCGCCCTGCGCGATCTCACCGTCGCCACCATCGCCCTGAAATTCACCCAGTCCAATTCCGTATGTTACGCTCTCAACGGCCAAGTCATCGGTCTTGGTGCTGGCCAGCAGTCCCGCATTCACTGCACCCGCTTGGCCGGCGATAAGACCGACAACTGGTGGATGCGCTTCCACTCGCGCGCCCTTGGTCTGCAGTGGAAGAAGGGCACCAAGCGCGCGGACAAGTCCAACGCAATCGATATGCTCTGCAGTGGCGTCGTGCCCGAGTCCGGAATCGAGCGCGAAGATTGGGAGCGGAACTTTGAAGAGGCGCCTGCTGTCTTCACTCCGCAGGAGCGGAAAGAGTGGTTGGAGAAGTTGTCGGAGGTGGCGTGCAGTAGTGACGCCTTCTTCCCCTTCACCGACAACGTGTACCGCGCTGCTCGCAGCGGGGTGAAGTACATCGCCGCGCCGACGGGGAGCCAGAACGATCAGCCGTGCTTTGAGACGGCGAGTCAATTGGGTATTACGTTTGTGGAGCAACACGTGCGGCTGTTCCATCATTAGGGGGATCTTGGGTTGATAGACTACATGTAGGGATAGATTAGGACGGAGCACAGGCATTTCCGATGAATGCTGGGGCTCTGCTGAATGTTCAACATCATTTCGCCAATATTTCCCATCTCCAACACGGACAGACGTTGGTATTGATGGGCGTTTGCCGTTGTGCTCTGCACGCTCTGTCGTGCTGCTATTCCTGCTTCCATACATCCACCCCACGCCGCTCCACGCCACGCGATGCTACCTTACCTATGCTAACAAACACACTTCTAGCCAGCATTTCGTGTCGTCCGTGAGAATGTCTGCCGTCCTCCGCTTCATGCATCTGCCTTTCTCTGACTCGCGCATTTCGGTCCACCGCAAGCAGCTTGGGTTCTGACGCTTCCACGATTCGCTAACACCACTACAGTATCCCCGCTCACGCCTTCTCCTCATGCGGGTCGAGAGTCGTGCCCTCAAGAATGGTCGCCCTGAAGTCATCAGTATCGCAGCATTGTCAAGAATTAGTATTGCACTCACCATCCAATCAACCGCCAATGCTTCTCAATTCTCCGGCTCAGCGCAACCTTCTCGCCAAGCTCCGTGCACGCCGGGCTGGTGAGCTGCAACTTGGCTACATCCGCCTTGATAGCCGTCACCTTTGCTCCCGTTGTTGTGGACCCGATGTTGACCATGAGCACCTCGTTCTTCGCCAGCTTCGCCACCTTTGCCTGCTTGCCATCGGCCGTCTTGACGCCCAACAAGCGGCGCAGGAGGAAGTAGTTCACTTCGATTTCGGTGTAGATCTTGGGCAGTTTGCCCTTGAGGCCGACGACGAAGCCAATGAGACGATCGGCACGGCAGAGCGTGGGGTCAATGCGCGTGCCCACACCAATAAGCCCGCCTGGCACGGCGAATTTGAGGCTGTTGTTCTCAGCGAAGAGGGACACGACGCGGGAGTAAATGGCGCGGCATTGGATCTTGCCGTTCCCGTCTTTGGACACGATGCCAGGTCGGATCTCGATCTCGTCGTTGAGTTTGAGAATACCGGTGAGGATACTGCCGCCAGCCACGCCACCTTGCAGCTCTTCAATCTCCGAACCGGGCTTGTTGACATCAAAGGAGCGGATGACGATGAGTCGCGGGTCATCGGCAAAGTTGCGCATGGGGACCGGGATCTTGGAGCACAGCATCTCGTTGATGGCGTCGATGTTGAACTTGAGCTGCGCGGAGATGGGGATGATGGGGCTGTTGTCTGCTACGGTGCCGCGGATGAACTTCTTGATCGAGTCGTAGTGCGTTGCGGCCGCTTCTTCGCGCATCAGATCGACCTTGTTCTGCAGGATGATGATGTGCTGGAGTTTCATGATTTCGATGGCCGCCAGATGCTCCGAGGTCTGGGGCTGTGGGCAAGTTTCGTTGCCGGCGATGAGTAGCAGAGCGGCATCCATCACTGCTGCGCCCGACAACATGGTGCTCATCAGGATGTCGTGGCCAGGGCAATCGACGAAGCTGGTGAGTCAATCAGTTGCTGCTCGAGGGATTATTCTTCCTCTGCGTGTTGCACTTACGACACATGTCTTAATAGCCGATATGTCCCACTGCATCCATCCCGCTCACACGGAGGATCAACCTCCTTATCACTCTTGTAGCTTCGATAGCATGTCGGACGAGGGCACTCGGGGTTGTCGCAGCGGTAGATCTTGGCGTTGGCGTAGCCCAATTTGATGGTAATGTTCCGCTCCAACTCCGTCTTGAAACGCACAGTCTGCACGCCGGATATCGCCTTGACCACCGTGCTCTTCCCGTGGGCGACGTGGCCGATGGTGCCGATGTTGATGGTCGCTTGGCGGCAGATGATCTCGGGGGAGAGCGGGGTGAGTTTGCCGACCTCGAGCTGGTCGGGGTTAGGTTGTTCGGGGAGCTCTGGACGCGCTGCGTGTGCTGCGGCGATTGCGTTGCTCTTCTTGAGCGCCGAGCGGGGCATGGGCGCCGGGCCCTTTGCTCGTTTCTCCTCCACCTCCTCGTCCGCCTGCGGCTCTAGGCCAGGGGATTGAGGAGGGGTTTCGTCGTCGGAAGGGTAGTCGCCGTTTGTGGCCATGATTGCGGTTGCGGGGGTGGGTTTGCCACTCCGGTTTGATTTGATGTTGCCGTCACACGTGCTCTTCTGCGTCCAGAGAGTCTTCAAGCTTCTGGAATGAGATTGAAGGCTTCTCGGCTGGTCAGGCGTTAGATTGTCGGGAATGTGAGCGCGAGACGATGGGTATGGGAGGTCGAGGCGCGAGGGACGGTCGTGGAGAGGGGTCGGGATGAGCAATGAGTGACTGTCTTTGAGCACGAGTTGGAATTTCGACGTCGGAGGTTGACTCGAATGAATTTCAATTCTTCGCCCCACGCTGACATAATCTTGCTGCCTGAGGCCACATTACCGCTGCCAACTTGATCACGATTCCTATTATCTAGCGATGCACATATCCTCTTTATGGAGAGCATACGGGGAATAGATTAGATCCAACATGTTTGATCGCTCTACCGTATGACTACAGTTATCGATCTAGAAGCGTATTCCTCCAGCCGCAATCGCGACCATCCAATTATAAAACACCGCATGCAATGTGTGAATGAGTTCCGTCTCCAATTTTTCGCAGGTTCGGTTTCATGCGATTGTCGATCTACAAGGTGGCGACCAAAGCAAAGATGGCGAGGATGCCAGCACCCGCCGCAGCACCGCTCTTGGGCGCGGTGTTGGTGCTGGTGCCGCTACCGCTGCCGCTGCCGCTGCCAGAGGAGCCCGACGTAGCTGCGGCCGCAGTTCCCGAAGCACCCGAGGCGACAGAGGTGGCGCTTCCAGCGGCACCCGTGGTCAGGGTCGCGTAAGTGCCAGTCGCGCTGGCAGTGGAGTTACCTGAGGTCGTACCGTTAGGGGCAGATCCACTGGAACCATTTTGGTTGCTCGTACCAGTGGAGGAAGAGTTGCCGCCGGCAGAGGATGACGAAGACTTCTTGCAAGTCAGATCGTACAAAGGCGCGCTGTTGAGGTTCGAGCCGACGATGCCAAAGCTGGGGCTGGGCACGGTGGGTTCGGCGTCTTGCAGAGTGTACCACCAGGTGTTGTAGTGGCCGAGGAGCGAGCAAGCGACTTCTTGCCAGTAAATCTCGGCGTTGGCGGTAGAGGCGACAGCCTGGCCAGAGACGGGGCCGGAAACGGGCCAACCAGTCTCGGTGACCCAGACGGGCTTGCCCTGAGACGCGCTGACGGTTTGATCGTACGAGTCCCAGAAGGTGGCGTTGCCGTCGGAGATGGCGTTGGCCACGCTCGTCTCAAAGTACGGGTAGGAGTCGACACCGAGCCAGTCGCAGTTGTCGGTGACCTCGAAGTTGGAGCTGTTCACCCAGGCGGTCCAAGTGTCGACGTGCCCAACGGGCACGCCAGAGAGGCCGGTACCAGCAATGGTCGAGCGTGCTTGCTTGATGTAGCTCACGAGCACGTCAGGCGACTGGCCAACGCCAGCCTTGTTTGCAATGCCGGTAGGAGTTTCGCGGTATAGATCTTCACTGCCGACCGACAGGCCGACGACGAGGTTGGCAAAGTCGGAGCCGTATTGCGAGATGGCCGATTGGAGCGCGGTGATCTCGTTCTGGAAACCCGCCTGATCCTGACTCGCCCACATGCCGAGCAAAAGGGTGGTTTTGGTGTTGATGGCGGCTTGAATGGCCTGGATGGGAGTGTTGGTGGTGCCGGCTTGGATCATGGTGTAGAGACGCGCGGAAGTGAATTCGCCATTGGTGCCGGCAAGCGACTGCGCAGCCTGGAATTCAGCCTGGTAGTCTGCCGTCGTCTTGGCCGTGCCATCGCTCAGCATGTTGCCATAGTTGAAACCGACGCTGACGGCCGAAGCGGTCGCCGCGAGGCCAAGGAGTGTGGTGAAATGCATGGTAAGGTGAAGGAGGGTTGTAGGGTTGGTTTTTCAGGTAGGAAAGGGGAGGAAAGACTGGATGAAGATGCGAGGATTATGTAGGTGCCTCTCCCGAAAAGAATGACAGAAGGCCGAGTGGCAAAAGCAGAGGGCGTGAATAGAGGGAGGAGAAAGAATGGTTGGGGCGGTGGAGAATGGAAAAGAAGGAGTTCGTATTTTGATCCTCGCGGCAAACCTTGACCTCTTCGTCACTGCCTCCTTGCGTCCCTGAGGACGCGTGGATGTGAATGGCCACGAGTAAATTTAGCTCTGTCACCTTTCCTGATCAAGGTTAGCGTTCCCCCCAAACCGTTGCGTGTCGCGGATGGCGCGCTAGGACGCTTGGTGGCTTGGGCTAACGGCGTTTGTGAAACTGCTCGTTTGCCGCAGAGTCTTTCGCGTGGTGGACGAGGTGCAAATAGCAGTCCCGCGTCTGGCCGTCAGAAGTTGGCCACATTGGGTGAGCACGGCTGGGGTGAGAGCGAACATCAGCGCGGAGGCCATTTTGGAGGCTGATGAGTCTGGAAAGCTCATCCACGTTTGACGCCAAGCGACTCCGAGATTGCAGATCGAGCTCCCCCGACTTGGTCCAGGTCTACGCTCAATCAAAATATGAACACCTTCGCCTAGATGACTTCTCGGCATGGAGGCTCGCGATGATTACTACCGACTGCTCGGCCTGTCAAGCTCCCCAGACACTACGCTGTCTCCTTTGGAGCTAAAGGCTGCTTACCGCCGCTCGTTGCTTCAGTATCACCCAGACAAGGCCGACAAGAATCAAAGCGCAGAGGAGCCTCTCCCCATCACGGTCGATGACATTGCTTTGGCGTACAAGACTCTGTCCGATCCCGAGCTCAAGGCCGAGTATGATCGTCGACTGCGGACTGCCCATTTGACGGATGGCACGGGCGAGTTAGCCAGTGCAAATCTTCATACCGGCTTGGAGACCGTCGATTTGGATGACTTGGGGTTTGACGCCGAACATCAAGTCTGGAAACGAAGTTGCCGCTGCGGGGATGAGAATGGATTCCAGGTGTCGGAAGCCGATCTCGAACAGAATGTTGAGGATGGGGAGGTGTTTGTTGGTTGCAGCGGTTGTAGCCTGTGGCTTCGAGTGTTGTTCAGCGCAGAAGCGTGAACAGGCTCTGGTGGATTGGAGCGAGTGACCTTGTCTCGACTGAACTGCGCACCAGATCCTGGCAAGATGGCGCAGCGACTATGGCAACTGGACACAAGTTGCGGGGGCGACAATCTTGCATCCCGACGGACATGCATTGCGTCCCTGGGCAAAGGCAGGACGGAATGACAATCGGCCGTCTGTGAAGGGAAAAGGCAGCTGCTTGCGTAACGCGCGTGGTGCATGATACCTGCATCCCGGCGAGTTGCGTGCAGGATCGGATGGAGCTTTGATCGGCGGCTGTGACCGGGCAAGTTGGCGATCGGGACCGATACCCATCTCCGTGATATACTACGCGCGACCCATGGATGGCAGTCGTTCCATCGCTATGTCTAGCTTCCGCGCTCCGGCATTACGTTTATTGTACGAGCGAGGGAAGGGTGGGCGAACAGAACGATCCAGAAGTTGCACGCGAAGCCACGCGGATGGGCAGGTCGTCGGCCCCGCCCGAATTCGGCAGCGTTGCCATGGAGACGTCGAACAAGCAACACTCCGCTACACCACCACCCTCGCTGTGACGACCACCACGCCTCATCCGCACTCGCCACCTTTACCCTGGCAGCAGTCGGCTAGCTAGTCACACCGTCACATCCAACCGCATCGCCCGTCGCAACAGACCGCCGATGAAACCTTGGCAACCGTGGCGGAAAGCATAAAGTCAGCCAGCCCATAAAAGTCTTATTTCCACCGTTCCCCCATCTTCCCTCCGCCATCACCCCTCCATCTGTCTATTCTGTATAGAAGATACAATCGCACTCACCACACCCCTACACTCACACTCTCTCACTCCCCCACTCTCTCGCCCTTGTTTGATTTGACTACACTTGTCCTTGCACCTCGTTCAAGATGCATTACCACGCTACCACACTCGCTCTCGCCGGCACCATGGCTGCGTCGGTTGCTGCTGGGTAAGTCGACCTTTCATCTTCCTCTCTTATCAACAGTACTGACCATGTCTAGGGGACACGGTGGTGGTCAAAGTGCGGCTTCTGCCACCTCTGCCACATCTGCCGCCTCCACCGGCAGCACATCGCTCAGCTTGCCCGCCTACGGCTGGCCGTCCTCTTCTTCCTCCAGTGATGTCGTTGCTGCCGTCAGCACGTCCTCTGCTTCCTCCAGCAGCATTGCTGGGGCAGTGAGCACGTCTTTGACCAGCTCGATTCCCGGGTACGGGTGGGGAAGCAGCAGCGCACCGGCCAGCAGTAGCGACGTGGTTGGGCCGACGTTCACCTCGATTGCGTCCAGCTCGGCTTGGGGCTACGGAGCGTCTTCTAGTTCCGTCGCAGGAGCTCAGAGCACGTCGATTGCTTCGTCCAGCTCGGAAGCGGCCGCTCAGAGTACGTCGATTGCGTCCAGCTCGAACTGGGGTTACGGAGCGTCTTCTAGCTCCGTCGCAGGAGCTATCAGCACTTCGCTTTCTTCCAGCAACGCCTGGGCGTACCCGACGGCCTCCAGCGCCGTCACCGTTGGTCCTGTGAGCACTTCGCTTGCCTCAAGCTCCGGCTGGGGGTGGTACAACTCGAGTGCGCCGGCGTCCAGCTCCGTCGCGGCGGCCATCAGCACCTCTTCCTCTTCCGCCACTGGATGGGGCCCGTACACCACGTGCAACAGCACCACCAGCGCCGTGACAGTGGGACCGGTGAGCTCAAACAAGCCCACGAGTAACGCGTGGTCAAGCACAGGTACGTCCACCTTCGTCCCCACCAGCTCTAATGTCGTGTCTCCCGTGTCTACTCACTCGACGACCCCCTTCACGCCATCGACGGGCGAGGCAGGCTCCCTGCACTCCCTGAAGATGGCGGGATTGATGGGTGCCGCGCTTGCCGGTGGCCTCTACTTTGTAAGTTGTCCTCCAGCCTTTGGGGTATTATGATCAGCACTGACTTCGGCAGGCCATGTAATGCATGGCAATGTGAGGCTTGGAAATTCGGACTGGGATGACGGGCAGGAATGGCGTTTGGAAGGAATGAACGGATGGGACACGAGATTGTACGGATGGTTATGGATTACGGCTGGGTCATGTACGGATATGAATACAGGGATACAGGATGGAGAGAACTAATGCGTAATACACACGACTGTTGCCCAATACAATTCATCATTTTGTGTCTCCAAATCTCGTATCCGCCTCCCTTTGTCATTTCTTCATTTGATGTTTGATGCAACAACCACGTGTCGATCTGGACCCATGTTCCACGAGCGCTAGCGTTGCGAGAACAACAGCTGTTCCTGCATTGGCTTAAACTTTTTCTTCTCCACCGCCATTGGCCGTTGCCGTCTCACCTCACCTTCCGAATTGCCGCACAGTCATCACCAGCCTGGAAACGGGAGGACACATTGCATTGTTCCCATCTTCTTGCCACTTGTGGTCTCCGCCGACGAGGTATAAAGCGCACCGGCCTGCCGTCTCGCTTGCTGAACATCTCCTTGCCTTGCGCTTCAACCACCAACACATCCCATTCACTCGACTACGATACAAAATGTCTGGGCCCTCCGTCGCAGCCAGTGTCGTGCCTGGCCTGGCTGAGAGAGCGATCAAGAACACTGTCTGCCTTTTCGACGTCGATGGCACCCTCACCCCAGCCCGACGAGTGAGCCGCAGCCATCCGTCTCTCGCAAACTTGTACATTCACTAACGCCATCCCCTGCAGGGCGTGACACCGGAAATGTTGCAACTCCTGTCTCAGCTTCGCCACAAGGTCGCCATTGGCTTCGTCGGCGGCTCCGACCTCGGAAAGCAGCAGGAACAGCTCGGCACCGCCTCCATCCCCGTCACCACCCTCTTCGACTTCTGCTTTGCGGAGAATGGGCTCACGGCTTACCGCATGGGCCAGCCGCTGGCGAGCCACAGCTTCATCAAGTGGATCGGCGAGGACAACTACAAGCGCCTCGTCCGCTTCATCCTGCACTACGTCGCCGACCTCGACATTCCCATCAAGCGTGGAACGTTCATCGAGTTCCGCAACGGCATGATCAACGTGTCCCCCATCGGGCGTAATGCCAGTGTTCAGGAGCGTAATGACTACCAGACCTTTGATCTCGCCAACAACGTCCGTGCCAACTTCGTCGAGGCGCTGAAGAAGGAGTTTCCCGATCTGGGACTGACGTGAGTTTGCGCCTTGCCGTGCATTGATATCAGGCGTTGACATACGTGTGCAGGTACTCCATCGGCGGCCAAATCTCATTCGACGTCTTCCCCACCGGATGGGACAAGACTTACTGCCTGCAGCACGTGGAGAATGAGAAGAACCTGCCCGGCGGCGTCGAGTACACCACCATCCACTTCTTCGGCGACAAGTGCTTCAAGGGCGGGAACGACTACGAGATCTACGAGGATAAGCGCACCATCGGCCACAGTGTCAAGAACCCCGATGAGACGATGGCGTTGCTGCGGGAGATGTTTCACCTTTGAGTCGTCAGCTCGTGCGGTGTTGTCGTGAGTGTAGCAAGCCGTCAGGTGTAGCATGGATTTAATGGGCGGGAGTGGTAGAGAGATGGCGATAATGGTGGCATTACAGCGCTTAGCAGGATCAATGTACTGTTTGTCTGAATTCAGAGACCTGAATATCCTGCAGTGCCGACTGCTGTAATCCCAAGAACTAGATTTACTCGGCCAGTGTTTCTCCATGCCCTGCTGCGCACGACAGAATATATCATTTGATCATCATGAGGCTGCTCGTTCTAATGCTATGCGGCATTCCCTGATGCTGTCGATCCTCTCATCCAATGGCTTCCACAGAAACAGAGGTGCAAGGCTTTTCGACCTCACTTTGCGTGGCCTGCCAATATCGTGGCCACCTCCGATTAGAATGACATGGTCATTCCAGTCAATTTCAGGAGCTGATATTTTTCCATCCTTTCGATGCTCAACCTTTGCGGCTCGAGAAACTGCTGCCCTGGCACTGCAAGAATCTCCGGCGTGGTCCAAACCTAAACCCTAATCCTTGAAGGCGAGACCGTTCCAAGGGCCAGAAGGCGACTGGATGGAAATGCACAAAAACATCATCAACGAGTTGTCGCAACGTCTATTACATTCGCAGTCTATCCTCTATCTCAGAGCCGCACGCCTTTCACGAGCAACCACAAAGCAACCGGCACGACGACATTGTCATTCGCGCCCGTCAGCACCGCCTCCATGAAGCTGGCTCCACAAGCACAAAACACGGCTTTCGCCAGAGTTCCGGCCCATGCGTACAAGGATCCGTGGTGGTGATGCAAGACAGAGCCGTGACTAGCTTGCCAGCCGCCAAACACCAGCCACGCCTTTGAGAGGATGAGGCCAACGGTCACGGCAGCCGCAAACGCGGCACTGCCTTCGAGACTCTTCCCTCCCACCCACATCCACTTGTGCCTGCCATACCGGCGCCCAATGAGACTGGCAGCCGCATCACCCATGCCCACACAGATCACGCCGGCAACCATGGCAACTTCTCTTTGCTCATCCTCCAGCTCCCAGCCCGCCCACGGTGTCCCCCCGGAACGGGGGATTGAAGCAAGGGAGAACCAAAAAGGAACCGCGCAGCCGATCAGCAAGAAGATATGGCTGACAACGATAGGGCCCCGTAGGTCTCTGCCGTCAACATACGGCGCCACAAATCGGCTGATCGCGTTGCCAAGAGGCGCTACTTGTCCAGCTCGGATGACTTCGAGTAGCAGGAATACTACCAAGATCAGGCCGAGAGCAAGGGCGCAAGCGCAAGGGTCGACGAATGTGGAGGGCAGCATCATGGCGACCATGACGCCGTGAAAGACTTTGCGACGGGTGTCCACCTCGACAAAGGCGGTCAGGCTGAACACGGCAATGAGGCCGGCAAGCAGCACGGCCGCCCAGAAGCCAATCAGCAGCAAGCGACCGTTTGCGGCGCCTACAGCTTGTCGTATGAGCGGAACAGTGAGTCGAGGGTCGATGTGTATCTCTTGCCAGCCTGGTGGCTCAGGCGGTAGTGGGATCCAGTTCTGTAAGCCAACAGCCTGTACAATGCTCCTGAACTCCTCGATCTGGCCGAGAATGTAACCCAAAGCCCATCCGATAGGTTCGTGGCTGTGGAGCGCTGCTTTAGCCACGTAGATTCGCACGGGCAGCAGAATGACGGCAATGACGACGAAGTACAAGATGGCTGCGTAGATGTACTTTCTGGAATCAGCTTGTTCGTGAGTCAAAGACATACACCACATGATATGTGGGGACTTTGCACGTCCACGGGTGTTGCTTTGTGACTCCGCCATGAGGTTCGCTCCCAGCAGAGGCAAGGTATTGCTTCGCGGTCGCTTGCGGAAGTCTGCTCCAGGAAAGGAGCCGTTCGCACCGGCAGGCGGCTCGATAGCGGATTGAGGCGTGGGCCCAACCGGTTTGTCTGAGGCGGTAAAGTTGAAACTGTGCATACGCAGCTTCGGCCGGCTGTCGGAGTGCAAATGTCTTGATGGCGGTTCTGCATCTTCGTCGGCATCACTCTCGTCTCCATCATGTCTGGTCGCGGATCGGCGAATCAGGTTGAAAAGATGCAGTGCTGCATCGACCGCGGACATCGGCTTGGACGGGCGAGTTGTGGGTCGCCTAAGCCTCCACTTTGGTATGCGTACGAGAGTGACATTCCAGCCGAGAAGAGGGACCGCAGGCACCAAGATACATACACCACCGATCCATAGGCATGCTTTCAAGATCACCATCTGGGGAGATGTGACCAGCAATAAAAGATTGATCAAGACGGCAGAGAGAAGGTGCAGCTCGGATACCAGCAAGCTCGTCGTCGTCATATATTGCAAAGGTTGAAGCAGAGCGTGGTGCAGCGGGTACAACGCGACTATCGTCTCAGGCGACAGTCCGGTGTACGGTTGTTGGAGGGAGGGCCAGGCTGTCCGCTCGGCAACCAACAATGGCACGATAGCGATGAACCAATGCACAATGTTGAAGCCTCCCAGTCGCGTAGATCGAGGAAAGAGTCTCTGCGGAAGAGACGACAATCCCAAGACGATGTTGGGCAACACGGCAGCCGGATTTGCGGGGGAGAGAGATAGAGCCACGAGGATTGGCAGGAGAGTAGGGTAGAGGACTGTCGCAGGGTCAAATGACGCCGGCACCCGAAAGCGCTGCCAGATGCGCTGATGAGGAGATGTGCCGTCCACAATGGACAGCTTGACCGGATACGCCAGGACCAGGAGTATGATGATGGTGACGTGCGCGAGGAGTTCCCGCCGCCATTCGTAGGCGTTTCGAAATACACCGGCTCCGCACAGGACGCATAGGACAATGACAGCCATCAACGCAACTTCGGCGCTTCTCCGTATGAATTCCGCCAGGCGTACTTTGAGCAGCCTCTCTTGTTCAGCGTCATGCTCTTCCTTTGACCACGTTCTTTCCAATGTCGAGCGTTTGAAGTAGCCTTGCCCGAGTCGCCGTCCATCGTCATCGAGCTGGGAAGGGGTGAGGAGAACATCGGCGTCTCTCTCGCCCGTCTTCAATCCTTTCCGCGGGCGAAGGTGCGGGGCTGGGAGTGCTTTTATGAGGTGCGGTCGCTCATCGTCGGCCTCTGTGCCGCTGTCACTTCCAGTGCCCGAAGCCGTTCCATTGCGTCTGTGAAGCAAATCATTGGCTTCACCCTGGCCAGAGACGGCAATCCGCACCGCCTCGGAGGAAGGGGCGTTCAAAGCGGCGAATCCCTCTCCACCGTCTTGGAGTATATCGTGTCCATCGTGGCAGTATGGACGCGGGGTTCGAGTGCCAGTGGCTCGACTTTCCACCTCTTGCGGATTGGTGTGGGAAGGGGTGGAGACGGTGGGGATTTCGCGGGCGGACAGTCTCACATCCTCGGACATGCTGGCCGTTCACATCCGATGAAGGTGGATGTGGCGCGGCAGAACATGTTGCTCCGTCGAATGGAAGCAGAAGGATTGGAGGAGGTGCTGCTGGTACGCGCGGAGGTGACGTTGAGGCTGACGTTGAACTGTCAGTCCACGACGGGAGCGGATGTGGGGCCGAAAAGAAGGGACCACGCAGGCAAGGGCAATGACAGCATGAAGTACGGGAACATATATGATTTCCCTCCTCTACGCTCTATCTAGTCTACAAGTACTTGTTCTCCTTCAACCATGCCCTCACGTCATCCGCATCGCGCGAGATCCACGAAATCTTGCTGCGGATGGAGTCCTTGGTCTGCGCCAGATTCCGCTCGAAGCCCTTGTTGCTCCTCCCCTCGAAGAAGGCGGTGACGTCTTGGAGCTGTTCCTCCTTGGTGAAGCCGCTGGTGGACATCATGACCACTTCACCTAGCATGGTAAATGCCGGCGGCATCTTCTTCACCACAAACTCCCAATTCCCCTTGACGTACGCCCACAATGCCTCTTGCCCCTCGCGATGCGCCCTCAAGCCGGTAAGCGGCAGGTAGATGTCTTGGTCCTTCACGCGGTCGCTGAATGCAAAGTCGATGGTCCGCTTGACGAGCTTGGGATCGCGAGCGCGGCCCAGTGCGCTCAGCGCCGTCACGCGCTCATCACTGGTTGCGGCGGTTTCGTACGCCTGGACGATCGCGTCGTACTCCTTCTCCCCGCCGTACTGCAGCACGACGGAGTACACGCTGGATCGAAGGTTGGGGTGCAGCGCCTTGCGCTCGCCCGCCACAAACTTCTCAAACATCTCGAATGCTGCGGCCTTTGTCTTCTCGTCGCCAGCGGACGCAGCACTGCCAAACATCATGCCTTTGAACTGCTGATCCATGTGGCCGTCGTTGGGGCTGAACGTCCACCCAAGCTCATGAGCCTTGGGACTCGACAGATCTCTTTGGAATGCTTTGAGCGCATCCTTCGTCTTGTCATCCTCGTACGTGAACGCGGCTCGCACCGAACCGATGCGCGAGGTAATCTCACCCCATACCACAAATGCCGGCTCGGCGTCGAAACCTTTCAGCAGAGAGAGCAAGCCGGACGTCTTCTGGTACCCGGCGCTGGACAGCGCGCCGGCGTCAGCAATCATGCCCGTCCGATCCTCGACCGTGAGCAGACCAGCCTTGGCATTCTCGCCCAGCTTATGCAGACGCTCCGTCGTGTACGAAGTGCGGTATGGCGAAGTATGGTCGGCATTGAGTTTGTAAAAATCGGAGTCTGGCACCGGGAAGCTTCGCTCGCGCGCGTCGAGGACGGCGTCGCGCGTAACACCATCTTTCGTGCGGATTCCGAGGACCACCGGGTAGATGATCTGGTCCTCTTCCGGCTTCACATCGCCAGTTCGGAGGAATCTGTTCTGTTTGATCTTGATCGACTTGTTCGATGCGTCCTCGGTAACGGAGATGACGGGGTAGCCGATGTGTTTCGTCCAGATATCAGCCAGGTGCACAACATCCTTGCCGCTGGCCTCGCTCAAGCTCTCCCACAGGTCTTCTGTCACCGTGTTGCGGTAGGCGAATTTCTTGATGTATCGCCGAATGCCCTCCATAAACACATCTTCACCGAGATACTTGGAGATCATGCGGATCACGGCCGACCCTTTTTCGTAAGAGATGGCATCGAAGATTTGGTTGATCTCGTCCGCTCGCTGCACTGGCACTTCGATGGGATGCGAGCTGCGCAGACCGTCGAGCGCCAGGGCGCCTTGCAGTGTTTCCTGCACAAAGGTCTCCCACACCTTCCACTCGGGGTCTGCACTCCATTAGTACTGGGCGTGTTAAAGTTTGGGGGGAGTGACAACTGACAGAGTGCATTCGCGGCATACCACGACATCCACGTCGCAAAACCTTCGTTCAACCAGAGTCCATCCCAGAAGTCCATGGTGACCAAGTTGCCAAACCACTGGTGCGCAAGTTCGTGCTGCACAGTTTCGGCAATCCTCTCTCTCCGAGAGGCGCTCGCGTTCTTCTCATCGAGCAAGATGGCGACCTCGCGGTACGTGACTAGACCCCAATTCTCCATGGCACCGGCGGCGAAGTCGGGCACGGCGACCTGGTCCATCTTGGGCAGCGGGAATTTGTTGTCAAATTCTTTCTCGTAGAATGCAAGGGTTTTTGCGCCGAGTTCGGCGGCGAAGCGGCCATGCTCGGGGTCTTGGTCGGGAGTGACAAAGGTTCGGACGGGGACGCGGAAGTCGTTGCACTCAAAGACCTTGAACTCGCCGATGATGAAAGCGAGGAGATAGGTCGACATGAGGGGAGTCTTGTTGAACGTCACGGCCTTGCGCTTGCGTCCGACCAGCTTGGAATCGACTTCCTTCTCACTGGCCTCGTCCATGTTGCTCAAGCAAGTCAAGTGGGGGTCGGCGATGAGAGTGACGGTGAAAGTGGCTTTGAGCGCAGGCTCATCCCAGCAGGGCAGTGCGCGACGTGCGTCGGTGGGCTCGAATTGGGTTGTTGCCAGGTACTTCTCTTGCCCCTTCTCGTCCTTGTATTTTGAGCGATAAAAGCCCGCCATTTTATCGTTCAACGACCCGGTGAACTTTTGGTGAAGCTTCACCTTGGAACCGGCGGGGATCTTCTGGGCGAAGTCAATCTTTGCCGTCTGACCATCCTCATCGTATGTTGGCTTCCCCGACGCATGGATTGTCTCACTGCCAGAGGTGATTTTGGACTCGTGAATCTCCACTTCCAGCGCATTGAGTGTAATGGAGGTGGTGTCCTCGACCACATCCAAGTCGATGGTCACTTGTCCGTCGAATGTGAACTTTTCGAGATCCGGCTCGAGGACGAGGTCGTAGTGGAGGGGTTTAACATTCTTGGGCAGAACTTGTCGACCCTTGGAGATGTCCATGCTGGCCGAAGGCAGCTCGGCGTCTCGTCGACACATGTTTCGGCGGTGGGAACAGTATTGTTTGGAGACTGAGAGGGGAGGGGAGTTGTAAGTGAGGGTCGATGGAGTGAGGGGTGAGAATGGCTTCTTTATAGAGGGAATGGCAGTGGGTCGAGTGGCCGACGCTAACCGTGAGAAGCTGCGGTGTCCGAATGAAGTGAATGCGGTTGACCAAACTCTTGCGTCTCGAGCGGCGGTGTCGATGGAGGGGGGGAAAGATGTGGAATACGAAAGCTTCGAGGCAGCTCTGGAGACTGCGGAGGTGAGATGCGATCGCATCTAAGGGTGGTGTGGTGAAAGGAGCGACTCGAGTGTGCGATTGGAAGAAGAGCAATGGATGACAGCCTGGGCGACGCATGTGGGTTTTCGAGACGCTTTGGCCACATGCATGACTCGTGGCAATTCACCTGAATGTGGTTAGGCGATGAACCTGGCCCAGCCCTACCGTGGTGATTATTCAATGCGAGATGCCGAGGCCTGCCGCGTAGCCACAAAAACATCACCATATCTCAAGCATTGGACTTCGACAGCGTTGATTTTGATATTTGAGGATGCCAATTTGACGTAGAAAGCGTGATTGCATCCCACACCGCAAGATGAGCTTCGCGGAGGCGACGTCGATCAAGCAAATCGACCCCCACACCTACGAGATCGACTTTTCCTCGTCTTGGGTTATCGGCACCGTTCCCCATGGCGGCTACGTGACGGCGTGTCTGATGACGGCGGTGCGGAAGCATTTCGACACCACTCTGCGCAAGCAGGACCAGCCGCATACCATCACCCTTCATCTCGACTTTCTGCGTCGCACCGAGACCGGGCCGGCAACCATCCGGATCCAGGATGTCAAGCTCGGCCGCCAAACCAGTGTAGTGCACATTGCCCTCTCTCAGGGCAGTCGTGAGGAAGTGCTCGGGTACATTACCAACTCCAACATGCGCACCGAAACCGGCGCTTCCTTCCCGACGACTTGGGAGTTGCACCCGCAGCCTCCGCCCGTTCCCGATTTCTCTTTGCTCGAAGCTGGGAAGGTGAGCATTTGGTAGCCTTATTATGTCTAGGCTGTGACTGACCGACGTCCCAGGAGCCTCACTGGGAGGAACGAAAGGAATGGCCCTTTCCAGATTTCCGCAAAGCATCTTCCAAATTGCGAGCGTGGTTTCCAAGAAAAGGCCAGGCTTCGCGCTCGTGCCTGAACATTTGGTATTGCTTCCGGGATCCGCAATCGAGATTCACCAACGAGTCTCTCGGCTACTGCTGTGATGCATTCCCGCAGATCTTGGAGCCCTACATTGTCGGCCAAGATATTTACAGCCCAGAGTTTGAGCGAGGGAGAAGTTGGCCGGAGCAGAAACGAGTGATTGATGAGAGCGGCTTCCAGCCCATGTGGTATCCGACAGTACTTCTCAATCTGGATATCAAGAAAGCTCTGCCAGACGAGGGCGTGCAATGGTTGTTCAGCAGGGTGGAGGCGAAGAAGATCAAGAATGGGCGGTACGATTTGGAGGTGCTGCTATTGGATGAGGGCGGCGATCTCGTCGCTGCGAGCCATCACGTGGTCTTCGCAGTCAGTGCCGACCGAAATACTGCAGCGCGAAGAAAGGATACGAAGCTGTGAAGAGGATAGAGTTGATATAGGATACATTGCAATTAAAAGGCTTGATGTTCCACGACAACTATGGTTGCACAATCAGACTGGGATCATGAGCACCTCAAACAGTGTGGAGTTGGTCTTGCAAGCGTGACTTTTCGTCGGAACAGTCAGAAAGCCATGGAGGAGATGGACTTGCTGGGAGGACTGCTTGCGTGGGGACTTGCCTTTACTATCGTCGAGTCGTAGTCTCGTGTTTATGAGGTGACGCGGTGTGATTTGTGGGAGGAATGTCTGAAGGTGAATGGTTGAACAGAATTCATGTTCAAGACTCGGCGTTGCTTAGCGCCTTGCCAAGCCCGTATGGGCGAGCTTAATTGAACGCGGTCCAGCTGTCAAACCGCCTCGCACCCGTCATCACCCCTCCGGCCCCGTATCGCTGCGCCCACGACAACGGCCACCTTTCCTCGCGCACGGCTCGCACCACTACAGCCACCGCCTTCGGGGCTGGCGAATACTTAACTCGTAGCTTCATTGGACACGCGGCAGTCGCAATTACGGCTTTGCGAAACATACACTCCGAGGCAGCCTTTTCCCCACCCTTCGACTCATCCCCCCAATTCTTCGGAAGACAGACACACCGGCAGCTTCTACCCAAGCAATACGCAGAGGTCGACACTACACTGCGCTGCAACATCGTGGAGACGTTGAGGCCTCGGGCGCTGGAGAGGCGACATGGGCAACATTAGCAGCAGACCCGACGAGGGGTCGGGGCCGTTTATACGGGATCAGATGCGCTGTACGTTGCAATGGTGGATAGGATGGAATGACGAGCTAATTATCGGCTAGTCACAATCGCCAGCGTTCATGTCACCAATTCTCAAGGCCAGACCCTGCTTCGAGTCGTCCCGACCGAGTTTCCTGCCACCACCTTCAAGGCCTCGAAAGATGCTGGCGATGAGTCTCCTATCGACTACATACAGGTATGTCTCCAAGGAGGGTGCAAAGTGCGACATCATGGTCCTGACGGTGCTGCTAGGATCCGGAGGGAAATCCCAACGCAGGACCATCCTTCCTTATGCGCCTTGCGAATAGCGAGGAGCTCCATTTCCAATTCACCCTCATTCTTCGACAGCAGGCCAGCAATGAGCCCACTTCAGCCAACGCCGACTCTCACATTTCTGGCCTGACATATGTTTTCGCCTCCAGCGCAAAAGAGTTGGACAATCTCATTACCCGCGAGTTTCACTCCGACCCGAATCTACACAAGAACTCCAATGTTGAGCTTCTGGGCGACTACAACACCGGCGGCTCGCAAAGTGTACAAATCGAATGGAACTGGAAATGGCGGCCGCCCAAGACAGCCGAGGATCGCGGAGGCGGTTGGCGCAACACTTGCAGTTTCGTGGAGTATAACCAGCGCGCGCATCGCTTGGACACCTTGGCTTCCTTCACATTCTGGGTGCAAAACACCCAACGGTATCTGCAGCCCCGCTCACCCCAGTTCGAATTGGGCCTTCCGCCGCGGCTGAGAGTCCCCTCTGGGCAGTCCATGGACTCGCGACTTAGTAACAGCAACGTGAGTGATTCGGAAGGTGAAGGAGGGAACGTCAAAGACTTTCCCGAGCCTCAGTCACCAGTCTTCGAAACCATTCCGGAGAACGGGCTGGGCCTGGCCCCGATGTCGACTCAATCCACGATCGGCACGAGCGCCTTCAAGGTGGATGTTGCCACTTGCAAGCCCGGGGAGGAGTCTTCCTGGAACGAGGATGGCCCTCTATTTCGAGCCACAATGCGTTCATTGGAGCAGAGGACCGGCAACATGCGCCTGCGCATGAAGAAGGTGTTGCGTACTGCAGAGGCTGCCGAAGTGGCTCAGCAGTCATGCAACCAGGCCGTGTTTGACTTTACCGAGGCGCTCAAAGACGCCGCTCACTCTAACGAAAAGGCTGTCCGTCCGGCACTGGACCATTACTTTGACAAGATTGCGCGAGAGATTCTGGCCTACGAGCGGAGGAATGCCGAGAACCTGCGAAAACTGATCATCGATCCCGTCAGCCGGTTGTACAACCTCGAGATCAAATCGGCGGACAACAAGAAGCGCGAGTTTGACGAAGAAAGCAAAGAGTACTATTCCTACGTGAGCAAGTACCTCGGACAACGCAGCGAGTCGCTCAAGGAGAAGAAGCAGCAGAAGAGCGACGAGAAGTATCAGGCGAAACGACGCACCTTTGAGTTGAAGCGCTTCGACTACTCGAGTTTCATGCATGATTTGCACGGCGGGCGCAAGGATCAAGAAGTCTTGTCTCATCTCACAAAGTACGCCAATGCCCAGGCTCAGGGCTATCTGGCGACAGCCAAGAAGGTTGAGGAGATGGTTCCGCAACTGGACGCGCTGGTGGCGGAGGTCAAGGTGGCCAATCAAGACTTTGAGCTACAACGATCGGAGCGTGAAGAGAAGCGACGTATTCTGGAGAAGAGCACGAAGCTTGTGAACGAGGATGGGATTGTCTCACCCCCGGGGCTTTCTCATACCATGTCGCAAAGCAATGGTCTCCGCGTGGGCGATGCAGACTTGGGCCGTTCCAGCGGCTATGCAGGGGCTGGAGCACTGTCACAATCCCCGCCGTCCATCAGCATGCTTCAAACACAAGGAATGGGCTCGACCAATGGCATGCTGGTAACTCCTACGAGTGCATCGCAACCGCTCTCTGCGAGCCCGAACAATAACAGGTTCCGGGGCTATCGAGATTTGGAAGATGGAGGGAACAGTGCCGGCGGGAGTGGCGGAACTCATCGCAAAGAAGGGCTGTTGTGGGCAATGAGTCGACCCGGGGGTCATGCCGAACCTCTGGGCATCAACAAAGCCGCCTGGCACAAATTCTGGATCGTGCTGGATCAGGGCAAGCTGTCTGAATATGTGAACTGGAAGGACAAGCTCGACCTCCACATGGACCCGATCGATCTGCGAATGGCGTCTGTGAGGGAAGCGAGGAATTCGGAACGACGCTTTTGCTTTGAAGTCATTACTCCGCACTACACCCGCGTGTACCAGGCGCCTTCGGAGGATGACATGAAGTTTTGGATTGCCGCCATCAACAATGCAGTGCAGAGCGCCTTTGAGAATCGCGCATACGTACCAGCCTCTCCCTCGCCTACCACTGCAGGATCGACTAGGAAGGATATTGCAGCAGTATTGACTGGAAAGAGCTCTTCATTTTCGGGCCATCGACACATCTCCAATCCAAACCGGTCCGAGGCGACGAAAGCGGTCAACAGATATGCCACCACTGGCGATAAGAATGCGTTTCGACGAAACGAGAGTAGTGGGCCGGAGCCGGAGCCATCTTTACTACTGCAGCGAGTGCGAAGTGTGGACGAAGGGAACAAGACCTGCGCCGACTGTGCGTCGGAAAGCAGGGTGGATTGGTGTTCTATCAACCTCGGCGTTCTCCTCTGCATCGAGTGCAGTGGCATCCACCGGTCTTTGGGGACACACATTTCCAAAGTGCGATCGCTCACGCTGGATACCTCCATCTTCACCCCCGACCTGGTGGAAGTGCTCTTGTCGATTGGCAATCGCGTGAGTAATACGGTCTGGGAGGCGAGGCTGGATCGCTATCTCAAGCCATCTGCCCAATCGACGAGGGAGCAGAGACTGAGTTTCATCACCTCCAAATACGGGGATCGAGCTTATGTTCAGACCGCGTCGCAGTCACCCGATGACCATCTTTTGACGAGCATCAAGAAGAACGATATTCAGAGCGTGCTGCATGCCCTGGCCTTGCGCGCCAATCCCAACGCACACGATCGATCTCGTGCTACTCACGCCATCTTCCTGGCATTGGCTGCCGCCGACCCCGCCGCGCCGGGGGGATCCAGCTTCTCCCAAAGCAGTAGCACCTCGACATTGAGAGCAGCCTCACCAATCGATTCGCGGCCATCCACACCCGCCCGGAAAGCGTTCGCCATTGCCGAGTTGCTGGTTCAAAACGGCGCCGAGATCCCCGCAGAGCCTTCCCCCTTCCCCCTGTCCACCTCGGCGAAGCAGTACCTCGACTTCAAGAACGATCAGAAGTTGGGCAAGGCTGGATACAACGGCGGCATCCGAGACGGCAACGGAGATCAGCTGGGTGCCTTGCCTGCCAATTTCTCTCCGAGCAGCGCACCGGCCCGGGAACGCGAGCGGCTCGTCAAAAGAAACAGGCCCAGCATGACGGCCGAAGCGGTTGAGAGCTTTGTGAAGAAGTAGCGCTTCGATCCTCAGCCTCATAGCTTGCACATCGGAATTGTACGCTAATGTGACGTGGGCAAAGACCGTATAGGCTTGTACGTCAACGCTCTTCTCGCTTCAGTGAATACCTGCTCGGCATCGATGGGGCGCTCGAAGATTTCGCGGGCGAGGCCATGGCGAGCGATGGACGGAGCGTTGTGAGAGGGCGTCAGGCGGTGAAGATGTTGAGAGGGAGTATTCTGGGATTGCGGCGGCGGAGTCAGACCGATCCTCCCAGGATTGAGACGTGCAAGAGCCCTGAGGCGTGTGGATAGGCCGTGAAGTATGTAATGTGTAATGAGAATATGCATATCCTCCGTCAGCCTCGCAGAGGAAGGACGTGCTGCACAAGAGCACTTTGTCTGCACAGCGGACACATGGGCTGCTCTCTCAACCAGTCGGTGACGCAGGTCCAGCAGAAGACGTGTCCGCACGTCGTGACCGATGGATCCTTCATCGGCTCCAGGCAGAGCGTACATTTGCGCTGCTGCTTCCCATCAATCCACTGCATGACTTGCTCGTCATGAAGATCGTAGCGGTGTGGTCGCGGCTGGGGTGTATTCGTGATCTTGGAGATGTGCGCCTGTTGTGCGGCAGGGTCGGTGCCGTGGTGTGTCTCGAACAGCAATGGGGCGGAGATGGTTGCATCCGTGTCTATCTCGACCCCACCATCGATTACTGCGCTTCCTCCGGCTAATCCAGCGGCGTTGGATGGAAGATTGGTGGTCTGCACGTTGCGCCAGGTGTCTTGGACGTGCAGGTATCCTTGCACGGCCATTTGGAGAGCAAGCAGGATGCCAAGGACTTCATAACCCACACGCTGATCGCTGTCGGTGAGTTTGCGAGTGAAGACGTAACGAAGGCCAAAGGCGCGTTTGCTGAGGGAGTAGTAGGCCCCGCTGAAGTAAAAGACCGCGAGACTCAAGGCATATGCGGCGGATGGCGAGGTGATGGCGTCGAGATGTTTGAGGATGTACTCTTGGAGGTGGAATGTTTTGCTTGCCGGCTGTTTGCTGAGCGATGGAGAGGACCTCCGGCGAGTGTGCTCCTTGCGCAAGGTCGATTCCAGCTTTGCGCGGAGCCGTCTTCGGAAGGCGGGGAGGAAGCGTGTCAAGGCGTACGGCAAGATGACGCTCGACAAGATGTAGCCCGACCGGCGAAATAAAGAAGGAAGGCGATGTGTATCGTGTTCGACTTGCACCACATCCGTGTACTCCTCGCCCAAGGTCCGGTTTCCGACGAAAGTCGTGAGGCTCAAGTAGAGCAGTTCCGTGAATGTTCGAGCTTCGGCCGTCCAGTTATGCGCCGTTCGTGAGCCATATAGCGACCTGATGACGGCCTCGAGTCGCCCCAGAAGGACGGATTGGAAGTAGGCGTCCTTCTGGTGGGATCGAATGATGTCGGGGGCCGCTGCCCAGGGATATGAAAAGTCGGGCTGTTCCCTGCCCGCTTCGATACTGCCGCTCTCTCGCACATAGTCCGACATGTCGTCCCCCGCCTTGAGCAATCTTGCTGCCACTTCCGAGCCTAGAGTCCGCTGGCGCATGGTTGTCGGAGGTGTGGGAGGAAGTGAAGTGGCCGTATCTTCGATCGCCAGACCTCGGCTTGCCAGAAGGGGCTGGCCAAGGGTTAGGGTTGGGACAAGCTCGGGTTTACGATTCACCGCGCAGGCAACTTCAGCAGGCCAACATCCATCGGGTCGGAGATCTACACTGCTGCCTTCGCCCGACCTCAGCCACACATCCGTCGTAAACGTGAGCAGACGTCTGCAACACCGCCTCTGCCAGTCAGCCTCCTCTCATCGCTGAGCCGGGTGGGCCCTGGCAGCCGTTGTCCCAAGCAATTTAGCGGCATAAGCATGACGAAAGTGTCTCCGCCGCGCAAGCGATTTGGGCACAGCCCGACTCGACTCCTGATTATCGCGTTCATATTCAGCTCCTGTAAATAGGCTGCTACTTTCTTCATCTTCCTGACGTCTCTCATCTCTTCAACCATCACTACTTGCCCGTCCAACATGCGCTTCCACCAGCTGTTTCTCCTTTCTCCCGCGCTCCTCGCGTCGGCGCAATTGTCGAGTATACTTTCGGACATTACCAGTGCGCATTTCGTAAATCACCAAATCACAGAGACCACGGGCTAATCGTAGCAGGCGTCGGAGGGGACATCACGTCTGCTGGCGGCGTCGTCACGTCTTTTGGTGGCAGTGTCTACACAGTATGTTGTCCGGGATGGAAGATTGTACACTCACTGAATTCGCGGGCAGGTCGTCACAAACAATGGAGGCAGCATTGTAAGCACCATCACTAGCGGGGCCGGGAGCGTCGCTACGGTCATTGTGAGTCCAAGTCTTGTGCCATTTTGATTGATGGCATAGCCAGTGCTCATATGTCTTCATCCAGACTTCTGCCGGCGGCAGCATAGCCACTGAAGTCACCAATGGCGCTGGAAGTGTTGTTTCGACCATCACCAGCGGTGCCGGGAGCGTCGCCACGGTTATTGTGAGTCGAAACGCGTGCCACATTGGTTCCAGTGCTGATACGCCTTCTTGCAGACCTCTGCCGGCGGCAGCATTGCCACCGAAGTCACCAATGGCGCTGGAAGTGTCGTTTCGACCATCACCAGTGGCGCGGAATCCGTTGCTTCAAGCGCCTCAAGCCATGGTGCTGCAAGACAGACGGCGGCGCCGATCATTGCAGGAGGTTTGTTGGGAGCAGGCGTGGCTGCTATTGCAATGCTATAGACCTAATAAACACAGCGAGCCTTGCCAAATGGCATGCCGCTTGCCTCGGGGTATCGCCGATTTCGTCTTCAGAATGGACTCTACTCGTCTCCTTCGCTCGTCACTTCAATAAGCTTGGGGATGTCCTGCGGCTTCGCATTTCCCGCAAGAATGTTGTACACGGCAGTGAAGAGCGGAAAGTCCTTTTCCATGCCCTGCGCCTTTAAGAATTCATTGACCTCATACGCCGTGCTGGTGCCTTGCAGCTTCTGCCCGTTGAGCTCTCGCTCTTCAATCTCCCCAATCGGCTTGCCCTCCTTCACGCTCATCTTTGCACATCGGAAGTTGCGGCCTCCAGAACACGAGGTGATCATGTCCGCCACGCCGCAAGACTCTTGGGTGAAGGTTTCGGTCTGGCAGGTGGAGAAGAAGCGAGTGCCAAATTTGACCTCTTCGAGAATGCCAACGCGCATGACGGCAGCTTTGGCGTTATCGCCCCAGCCCAGCCCATCCACAAAGCCAGCAGCGATAGCAACGACGTTTTTGAGAGCACCGCCGAGGGATACACCCGCAACGTCACGAACCAGGCGCACATGGAAGTATGGCCTGTGAAAGAGCTTTTTGATGTTGATGTGGTTGAGAGGGGGATATTCGGCGGGGAGAGCTCGAGACTTTGTTCGGGATAGAGCGTTGTCGTCTGCAGCTGCTGAAGAGCGGTCGGGGGAGCCGTGTTGGGAGTCCAGAGCCGGAGGGTCGTAGGCCACCGTTGTTTCACACCACTTTTCCAGGGCAACTTCGTTGGCAATGTTGGCACCGCTGAGGGCGCCACAGTAAATGCCCAGCTTGCGGCCGATGCTGTCCGAGAAGAGCTCGCAACCGTCCTCGGACACGGCAACACCTTTGATACAGCTGATGCCTCTCGCATACGGAATCACCTTGTCGCGCAGCATGTCACATATCCTGCCGATGAATTGATGTGGAAGGTTGAAGACGAGGATGGTGGCGTCTTTGGCTGCGTCGGCAATGTCTGGATTGGCCACAATGTTTTTGGGGAGTGGAATGCCGGGCAGGTATTTGACGTTTTCGTGGAGGCCATTGATCAGCTGGGTGAGCTTCTGGGGTTTGGTGCAGAGTTCCGAGCCGCCGTCGTAGTGTTTGCTGTCCTTGGGGAGCTGATATTCCTCCTCGTACACCCACATTTGCACCTCTTGTTCAAAGAGGTCTTCATGCTCTTGTGTGTTTTCTGCAATGACTTTGGCGATTGTCGTGCCCCAGTTGCCCGACCCAATCACCGCAATCTTGTGTTTTTTGGAGTGAATTGGAGGCATGGTGTGGGACCAACGCAGAGGTGTGAGTGATGTTCGGGTGGAGTGGGGGATCTGTAGAGGTCGCGTGAAAGTGGGATGGGTAAGGCGGAGGATGGAGGTGGTAGTGAGGGACGTGCAGAGACGTCGGGAGGGTGTGAGTGGTGTTAGCAGAGAGAGGTTAGAGAGACGGTTTGAGCTGAACATGAGACGGCCATGGGCTTGAGAAGAGTCCCGAGTGATGAGGATGTCCTTTGAATGCTTGAAAACTGCTGAGCTGCACCAACAAGTCCATTCCCCACACACAGCCTTGCCAATATCGGCCTAGCGCGGGGCGGGTCGAAGGGTGTCAACTTTATTTAGATTTAGCGCGCATCAGACCACGACGCTCCGACCGCCCCTCCGTCGACAACACATCTCCGCCTCGCGGACGGCGCGCAGTGACAGCCAGAACTTGCTCAAGATGGGTCTCGGCGTCTTGAACGACACCAAGCTCCCGCATGTGCCGGGTAAGCTGGGCGAGCCCCTACCAATCCGGCGCGTATGCTAACCTCCTTCCAGGCACAGCGACCCTCGAGGCATTCGACGAGCTTGCTAATGTCCCGGGCCACGTCGGCGTGAAGCGCAGCAAGCAGGGTATCATCCTTGTCCCTCAACCCAGCGACGACCCTGACGATCCTCTCAACTGGCCGTTATGGCGCCGCGATCTCATCGTCGGCATCCTGTGCCTCCTTTCCGTCATCGCATCCACCTTGTCTCCACTGCTGGCTTGCAATACCTTGACCCTCGATCTCTACTTTGAGAAGAGCTTCACCGACATTGCTCTCTTGACGGGTTACCACTTGCTGGGCGTGGCGGTGGCCGGCTTCATCTTCGTGGCAAGTGCAAGGGTCTGGGGCAAGAGACATCTCTACATCCTCGGCGCATTCATCATCATCTGGAGCTCGGCATGGGGCGGGGCGAGCAATCACAACTACAACTCCCTGCTCGCGGCGCGCTTCTTCCAGGGCGTCGGCCTTGCCCCTTTCGAAGCCTTGGTCAATGCCAGCGTGGGCGACTTGTACTTTGTTCACGAGCGCGGCAAACGCATGGCATTGAGTAACCTGAGCTTGTTCGGCGGAGCCTTCTTCACACCCGTCATTGTTGGGACGATTACCGAGCATCTGGGCTGGCAATGGACGTTTTACTTCATCGCAATCTTCACCGCCGTCATGTTTCCCCTCATCGTCTTGTTCGTCCCCGAGACGGCGTTTGTACGAGATGCACATTTCAACACCGATTTGTCGACCACCATCGATGCCGATGAGAAGCCGAGAATGCAGGAGGAGGTCTCCGCCCCCGAGGCCCGTCCGGCAGCGAAAATGCTCTCCAAACAGAATCTTCGACTTTTTAATGGCCGCAAGACGGATGAAAGCTTTTGGAAGTTGTTGCTTCGCCCGTTTCCCCTCTTTCTACACCCCGGCATCCTTTGGGCCTGTCTTATCCAGGGCACGTTGATTGGCTGGACGGTACTCATCGGCATCGTCATTGCGACCATCGCCTTCACCCCGCCCATCTTCTTCAACGAAGCGCAGACCGGCTACCTCTACACCGGCGCCTTCATCGGTGCTCTTCTCGGATTTGTGCTCGCGGGTCTACTGAGTGACAGCTCCGCCAAATTCCTGACCAAGCGCAACGGCGGCATCTACGAGCCCGAGTTTCGCATGATTCTCGTCATTCCGCAGCTCATCTTTGGCTGTGCCGGAATCTACGGCGTCGGCATCACGGGGGCTGACGTGGCCAAGTTTGGCTGGTTCTGGCCGGATTTCTTCTTTGCCCTGGAAGTTCTGGGTATGGTCCTCGGTGCCGTGGCCTCTGCACTCTACATTGTCGATGCGCATCGTGAATTGGCGGTGGAGGGATTCACATGCTTGTTGATCTTCAAAAACATCTTCAGTTTTGGCTTGACGTTTAGCGGGTTCCACTGGATTCAGACGGTCGGCATCAAGCCGGTATTCCTGGCCATTGGAAGTGTTCAAGTGGTGATTTGCTTTACGACGGTCTTTATGTGTAAGTGTGTCCGTTGTTGGCATGATGAAACCCCCCGACTGACGTGAAGCAGATGTGTTTGGGAAGAAGAATCGGTCGTTCATGGCTCGACATGACATTTTGAAGCTATGCCGGCTGAGATGACCGGTAGTATCTATTCGTCGTATCCCCTCTTACATCCGCTCCCTCTTTCGTGGCGCCGCCCGGATGATGTTGTCCACTCGCAACAATAGCTCCGCAGCCTCTCCCGCGCTCGACACGACGGCACGTTTGAGCTTGTAGCTCTCGACGACGCCCATCTCGCGCATGTCTGCAATCCCGCCCCCGGGAGTCATCAGATCCAGCCCTGAACTGCTCATCCCGGCGTAGACGGCTTTACGTAACCTCGCCACCAGATCGGAGCTGTCGAGTCCTGCGTTGTCGGCGAGGATCGTGGGTAGTTGTTGAAGTGCTTTGGAGAAGCTGGCAACCGCAAAGGCCTTCTTGCCGGCGACGTTTTGCGCAGCTTGGTCGACCGCCTTTGCCATGACCATCTCTGCGCAGCCTCCTCCGAGCGTAGTCTTTGGTGTTTGTACGGTTTGGGAGAGCACGGCAAGAGCGTCGTGTAGACTTCGCTCCGCCTCGTCCAGGAGTTGCTCTGTTGCGCCGCGGAGCACCACTGTACACGCCCGGCCTGCTGCCACGCCGGAGAAGCGAATGAGACTATCCTCGCCAATGATGACTTCTTCGATCAGATCACAATGGCCCAGCTTGACGTGTTCGGGGTGGTCGAAAGTGCTGGTGATTTCCGCGCCGGTAACCAAAGCCAGTCTCTCCACGCCGTCAAAGTCGGCATGCTCGATGGAGGAAATGCCTGCGTCTGCGAAAAGCTGCTCCGGCCAGTTGTAGATGAGTTGGCGATTGACGAAACAGTTGATGCCGTGCGCCATGATCCGCTTCACCTTGCTCTTCATCTTCTCCCGCTCCGCATTCTCCAGCTCCGCCAACTTGCCCGTGCTCTCCACCTTGACTCTTGCCCCGAAGATCTTGACCTTGTCGGTGTCCATGCTAGTGTTGGCGACGAGGATGTTTGCGTTTTCTATCCTTTTCGGCTGGTTCACGCCAAACTTCTTGTCGAGGATGAAGCCCTCGTCGAGGTAGGAGTCGGAGAGTTTGCCGCCCGCCTTTTTGATGATTTGAATGTGGGTGAGGTCGGTGGAGCCTTTCATGCGGAGGACGGCGTCGGTGGCGAGGTTGGCAAAGTAATCGCGGTCTTGCGAGAGGACTTTGGAGCTGAGGGTGGTGCGGGCGATGGAGACGAGGTCTTTGCGGAAGCGCGCGGGGTCTTTGCTGTGATCGACTGCCTGCTCTTCCAACGCTTTCAATGCTGCCGCGCTCGCTATTCTGTAGCCTTCGATGATGGTTTGGGGGTGGATTTTTTGGTTGACGAGTTGTTCTGCCTCTCGTAGGAGCTCTGCCGCAAGGACTGCCACACTGGTCGTGCCGTCTCCCACTTCATCATCTTGGACTTTGGAGATGTTGACGAGGACTTTGGCGGCGGCGTTGTCGAGGGCGATGCTCTTGAGGATTGTCGCTCCATCGTTGGTCACCATGATCTCGCCGGTGGAGGCGGATTGCAAGATCTTGTCCATGCCCTTGGGGCCGAGGGTGCTCTTGACGAGGTCGCCGACGGCGATGGCGCCGACGAAGGCGGAGAGACGGGCCTTGGGAGGGTTAGTGGTGGATGTGGTGGTGGTTAAGAGTGCTCACATTTTCGCCCTTTTCCTCGATGGTGTCCTCTGCGAAGATCTGGGTGCTCTGTCGAGATGGTTAGTGAGTGGGGCAAGTCAGTGAGAGGAGGAGTGCTCACCATTTTGAGTGGACTGTGGTGCGGGAGGATGATTGCAGGATCTTGTCGCAATCACTGCTGTGAAGCCGCACGCGAGCGCGTCCCAAAACTTTTTTCCCAAAGTGTGGCGCAGGAAAGTTGTGGCGCCGGCGTGGGCATCTTCACAATCACCCGCACATCACTCATAACGACGACAACACCATGGCGAAAAGACGCGCGCAAGAGCCCCTCGAGGAGGCGGTTCTGCAGACATCCCCCGCATCGAAGAAGCCCAAGGTTCATGCCACGGTGGAAGACGACGTGCCATCTCCCCCTCGGGCATTCGCCAACGGAAAGGGTGCTCCCGATGCAGACCACAAACAGCATGCAGAGCTGGAAGAGGCGGATGCGCTGGATGGGGAAGAGGAGGAGGATGAGAGGACTCCCACACAGCGACAGAGAGAGGCTGCAGACGGCTACCAGGACTTGTACCTCGACAGCATCAACCGATCCATCCTCGACTTTGACTTTTTGCGGCAATGCTCCATCACGCTGTCCAACCAAAATGTCTACGCCTGTCTGGTGTGTGGCAAGTACTTTTCGGGGCGAGGCGTAAAGACACCCGCCTACTTTCACGCGCTCGAGGTCGGACACCACGTGTACATCAACATGGAGACCAAGAAGGTCTATGTGTTGCCGGAGGGATATGAGGTGAAGAGCAAGAGCCTGGACGACATCAAGATTGTCGTCGACCCGCGATTCTCCCCGGAAGAGGTGAAGAAGCTGGACAAGCAACAGGAGCCTTCGTGGGACTTGACGAATAGAAAATACTATCCCGGCTTCATCGGGTTGAACAACATCAAAGCAAACGATTACCTGAATGTCGTCGCGCAAGCCCTGGCACACGTCACACCTCTACGGAACTTTTTGATGTTGGAGGATCTCACCGCACGGCCGCAGCTACCCCAACAATTCAGCGTTCTCGTCCGCAAGATCTGGAACTCCAAGGCCTTCAAAAGTCACGTATCGCCGCACGAACTCATGCAGGAGATTTCCATGCGGAGCAACAAGAGGTTTACGTTGAGTGAACAAGCAGATCCGGTGGAGTTTCTGAGCTGGTTCCTCAACAATCTACATCTTGCCCTCGGTGGGAGCAAAACCAAACCGCGGAGCTCATTGATCCAAAAGATCTTTCAAGGTTCTCTCCGGGTGGAGTCACAGACCATCACCGCGCGCGCCGATGCAGGAGATCGTTTGCGATTCGAAGATGCCGACGTCCACTCCCAAGCTTCCCCATTCATGATCCTCACGCTCGACCTCCCGCCCGCTCCACTCTTCCAGGATGATGTGGAGAAGAATATCATCCCACAGGTCCCGCTCACCACCATCCTGCAAAAGTACAACGGTCTTACTGCACAAGAAAAGACCAATACTCGCATGCGCTACCGGCTGATGCACCCTCTGCCACCCTACCTCATCATGCACATCAAGCGCTTTCAGCCCAACAAGTTTCTGCAATCCCAGCACAACCCGACAATTGTTACATTCAGCCCGCGCGCCCTTGACCTCGCGCCTTATGTCGAGCCCAACACCCAGCTTCACCCGCCGGGGGAACCGCTCGTGTACGATCTGGTGGCCAACATTACATACGAAGGCGTCAAGGTGCGAGACGATTCGGTCGAGGGAGAGGCGGAGCGCAAGGTGTGGAAGGTGCAGATGAAGGAGGGCGGAGACAGTCAGCAATGGTGGGAGATGCAGGACTTGTTTGTGGAAAAGGTGAATGCGGATCTGCTGAGTACAAAGGAGAGTTATATCATGATTTGGGAGCGGAGGAGAAGGGGCAAGGGCAAGTCGGTGGCGTAGGTGGAGTTCAGCCTCACGGCATTGAAAGTGTGCGGGTGATCGACACGTAGTGCTTACTCGGCAAGTCTGACACAGGCTACAGTCTGACAGTTATTTACTCAGATGTTACTTTAAAAGACTGCCCCTCTTCTAGCAACCTTTCATCCCTCACGGCAGACATGGATCTGGTGGAAAGAGTACCGACGCCAATCCTCACCTTTTTTTACCCTCTCAACGAGCCTAATCGTGTCCGTACGAAGGAGCTTCAAATATTATGTCTTGGACTCGGCCGGACTGGGACCGAGAGTCTGCAAACGGCCTTTTATGAACTGGGATATCATGATGTACACCACGGATGGCACATGGCGCTACACACGGAGGAAGCGCCTCAGTGGTATCGCCTGTCGTTGGCAAAGTATCGATACCCTGATCCCGCCTTTCTCAATCGAAAGGAATTCGACAAGGGCAGGTTGAATCGCGTCGATATCCTCGCGAACTTACTGACGTGTGCTCGAATAGTGCTGGGCAACTGTGAAGTCGTCACTGACATGCCCTCTGCTGCCTTTGCCGTCGAATTGCTACGCGCCTACCCCGAAGCAAAGGTCGTCCTCAATCGCAGACGGGACGTGGACAAGTGGCATGCAAGCATGATGGCCACTCTGGGCAACATGTACTCCGACTGGGGTTCCTGGGCACGGCAGTGGGTGGAGGCAGAGAACTTTTGGCTCATGCGCATCGTACGAGCGGGCTTCTACCCCAAGTACAGGTGGGATGTTGCGCGGCATGGGGTGGAGGTGTACAACCAGCACTACGCCGACTTGGAAGCGGAATGTCGGAGACAAGGACGCGAATGGCTGGACTGGACGGTACAGGATGGATGGGAGCCGCTGTGCAAGTTTGTGGGAAAACCCATCCCAGACACTCCGTTTCCGAATGAGAATGCAGTTGGAGGTTTTGCGGAGAAGCGGCTTCAGTTGCATCAGGAGAGATTCCGCCGTGCAAACAGGAGGCTTATGATCTGCCGGTGGTTGATCGCGACGGGTGGTGTCCTTGGTGGGGTGTGGTGGTGGAGAGACTCCGATCTGGTTCATTCGTTGTTGCGGCGGCTCGGGTAGGCTGTCTTCAGATGCGGACTACTCGGAGTAAAGGTCGGAGCTCGCTACAACATCAGCTGCGCAGGGTATATATATTAAGTGCGCTGCTGCCTCGACAAATATATTTCGCATTGCGTTTCTAGTATAATGGCTTCGTCAAAAGATCGAAAACACCCGTACGTCGATTATGCATCGCCGACGCAGACTGGGAAAATCCCCTTCACGCCCCCAGGAACGGAGCTGCAATGCGAGACGGCGTACTGGCTTTGGGGAGATTTGGCCAGGTCCAAGACTCCGCCTTTGATTGTCCTACATGGTGGTCCTGGCGCACCAGGCAGAGACTTTAACCCCCTCGCGGCGTATTTGAACGACAACTACGGCATCCCCGTCCTGCTCTACGATCAGATTGGATGTGGCGCCAGCACACACTTGCGCGACAGAAGAGGAGATGTCGAGTTCTGGTCGGACGATCTCTTCTTTGCCGAACTGGAAAATGTGAAGACGCACCTCCAAATCAACACCTTTGACCTCATGGGCCACTCTTGCGGCGGCATGCTCACGGCCATGTACATGCTGAAGCAACCTCCGCACCTCCGCAAGGTCATCATCGCGAGCGCACCGGCTTCGGATGAACAGAGGAGAGAGGGGTTCTTGCAGACGCGGAGAGCGCTGCCTCAAAGAACTCAGGACGTCTTGGCCTTGTGTGAGAAAGAGGGCCGTACGGACGCTCCGGAGTATCGCAAGGCCCTGGACGAGGTGGATAAACGCTTTTGTCGCATGAATCCCTGGCCGCCCGAACTACGCGAATGCGTGGCTCTCATGGATGAAGACGATACCGTGGGTCACACAATGTACGGCGATGTCCCGGGAGAGACTGCTGGGCCGCGGAAATACTACGACGTTCGAGGCCGGCTGGGAGAGGTGACGGACAAGACTGTTCCTGGTGGCGTGTTGCTCACCTTGGGCCAATACGACATCTTTTCCGAAGAAGCCATGGACCCTTTTGCCACTCAGATTCGGGCAAAGGTTCAGCGAAGGACCTTTGAGCAGAGTGCGCACTTTCCGCATATCGAAGAGTTGGAGGACTATGCCACTACTGTTGCAGGCTTTCTGACTACATGATCGAAGATGGGGGATATCAATGTACGATTCTGAGAGCAACTAAATCAACAGAGCAACGCTTCTACGCTTCAAGACCCTTTGTACATCCTGGCTCGATCTCTTCCAGCTTGGCCGCCAGCTCAGTCCACACCTTGGTTTGGATTGGGGCGCATTCTTTGCTGCGCACAATCCCTTCGAACTTGGCAGGGTGGCCGTCAGAGAAATACTGCCCGTGCCATTGCGGGCCCTGCATGGAAGCGTGCACCAGTGTCCGACTGCCCACCTCTGCCGTTCTTCCCACGATCCGTTGAAATGCCCGTACAAAAGCCGAGTCCATCTCGCGCATTAAGCCTGACTGGCAGAGGCCTGGGTTGACGAGGTCCAGTGTGACCTTCAGTTGCTTGACTGGATGATTTTGAACAATTTCCCGGCACGCCAGAACGCCGAGTAGCTTGCTCACGTTGTACCGATCGACCATTCTTGCCGTCTTCTCATCGTTGAGGCCCTCGAGGATGTGCGGAGCTTTGCGCTCTGGGAAAGACGTAAAGCCATGGACCTCGGAGGAGACGATGGTAATGGTCGGTGTGATGTTGTGACGCTGGCCCATGGCTTGCAGGTGCGGGAGGACAAGCAGGGCGAGTAGGAAGACGCTGATGACGTTGACGGTGATGCAGGACTCGGAGCCTTCGGCGAGTGAGAACTTTTGGGTGTTGATGCCGGCATTCTCGAGCAGTACGTCTACACGATCAAGCTCACCGACACGAGCGGCGAACGATTTGATGCTGTCGTAGTTCTGAAGGTCCAATGGCCAAACCTCCACCACACCGGAGCGCTGTGTCGAGCTCTCGATATCCTCTTTTGCGGTTTCGCCTTTGTCAACCGACCGGCAGGCAATGATGACTTTTGTCGCTCCGCTGCGGACAAAATGGCGCGCCGCCTCTTTGCCCAAGCCTCCATTCCCGCCGGTAATGATAAAGGTCATTCCCGAGCAGTCGAAATGGGGTGGAGGTGGAGTCACAAACAGCTGGCTGTAGAGCACCTTGGCGATCATGGTTAACAGCATCGTGGCGGGTGGTGGAAGTGAGACGGGGATGTCAAGAGACGATTATCTTTCCTCCATCTGGGCAGCAATGAAGCTATTTATGAGTAGCAGGAGTCATCCGTCTTCTGAAGATTCCCAATGTCGCTACGGAGCATGAATCGGCCGTTCCTCGGTGGATCGCAAGGCTTCGGAGGGTCGGAGGGTCGCGGTCCGGCGAGTCGCCTCCGAACGAGGCTGGATTCTGGGGCACATACATAAACTGCCTCCTGCTGCGCATAATGCTCGGAATAGCACAGTCCTTGATTAAGACCACAACCATGTTCGGCCTCGGCGAAAACAAGAAGAACGAAATGCCTGGCGATCCTGAGGCTATTCGAGACCAACTTACACTCGACAAAAACGGCTACCTCTCATTCTCACCCAACGATCCCGATGACCCCAAATCGTGGTCCAAGGCTCGAAGATGGTCAATCACTACCATCGTCCTCTTCATGGTATTGAACGCTAGCTTTGCATCCACTGCACCGACGGGAGCTCTTCTTGGAATCGTCAAGACATTCCATGTCTCCGAGGTTGTTGCAAATCTGGTCACCACCCTCTTCCTCCTGGGCTACTGCGCCGGGCCGCTCTTCTGGGCGCCCCTTTCCGAGCACTATGGCCGTCGATACATCTTCTACGTCTCCTTCACTGGCTACTTCGCCTTCAACTTCCTCTGCGCTTGGGCGCCCAATCTTGGAGCCCTCCTCGCCGGCCGCTTCCTCAGCGGCACATGCGCGAGCTCTTCATTCAGCAATGGCCCGGGTGTCCTTGCCGACCTTTGGGAGCCAATTGACCGTGGCATCGGCATGGCATTACTGCTCATGTTGACTTTTATGGGACCAATCATTGGACCAATCACATCCGGCTTCCTCTACCTGACGGAAACCTGGCGGTGAGTAGAGACGAAGGCGCGCAGGACTATCGCTGACTCGAATACAGATGGACCTTTTACGAACTGCTTTGGTTCGCGGCTGGCACGATTCTCTTCCTCCCACTACTTCCCGAGACTCTGCCCGCGCGAAGGTTGACCATGAAAGCCAAAAGAATCCGCTCCGAGAGTGGAGGGACAGTGGAGGTATACTCTCCGCAGGAAGGCAAGAACCAATCATTATGGCACATTCTCGCGCACGCCTTGTCAAAACCGTTCCTGCTCTTCTGGGATCCAATCTGCTTCTGCCTCGCCACCTACATCGGGGTTGTCTACGCGGTATTGTATATGATGTTCACCATTTACCCTGTTCGTCCTCCCAAACGTCGATGGGTTGAAGAACGTTCACTGACGGTGTGAACAGATTGTCTTTCAGGAGAAACGCGGCTGGAACGCTGGGGTTGGCGAACTACCCTTGATCGGCTTGGCCGTCGGTGCCGTCGTCGCTGCTTTGCTCCTCATCGCCTTTGCAGCTAGAATGAGGAAGAATGGGGCGGACGAAAAGGAGTGGAACCCCGAGTCCAGACTCCCTCTCGCCATGATCGGCGCAATCCTTTTCCCCATCGCCATGTTCTGGCTCGCATGGACTGGCAACTACAACAGCATTCCCTGGATCGTGCCGACGCTCGCGGGAGGATTTCTCGGCTGCGCCATCGTCTTCATCTTTGTCTCGTGTATCAGCTACCTCACCGACAGCTACGTCCAACACGCAGCAAGTGCATCGGCCATCAACACGGTGGTGAGATCCGCAATGGCTGCCAGCGCGCCCCTGTACACCAATCAGATGTTTCACGCTCTCGGTGTTGGAGGGGCCGGTTCGCTTCTTGCGGGTGTCTCTTGCCTACTGGCTCCAATGCCATTCGTCTTTTACAAATATGGACCGGCGTTGCGCAAACGCTCCAGGTGGGCGCCGGAGAAGCCGCCAATGGAAGAAGATGATGTCGAGAAGCCAGCGGATGAGAAGCCGCCAGTGGAGGAAGATGATATCGAGAAGCCAGCGGATGGCTCGAGTCAGGGTGACGTTTCCCCAACGGTGTAGAGCGGACGGCCACGGCATAGTAATGAGGCGGGACAGGGGCACAGTAGACTAATGTATACAGGGTTCTAATCACTATAAATCAAACACCGTCCCGGGGTATTGCGCATCCCACGCCATCCAATCGAAATCGGTTGGAGCATCATACAGTGCGGTGTTGAACATGTTGACATCAAACTGAACGGGATCTGGAATGCTGGCAGATGTGTAGGTCAGTCCATTGCCGGCCTGCACCGACGAGAATTCGGCAGGATTCATAACGTCGAAACTCGAAGCGTAGTCGTGACTCCCGTTTTGGGGTATGATTGCATCGGCATTGTTGGATACCGGCGGGTTGGAGATGTTGGCGTCTTGACATTGTCGCACTCTCTCCAGCATGGCGCCTACGATTGACGCTCCCTTGTCAGCAGCATCGCCCCAGCTTTGCACTCCAGTCCAGGCCCGATATGATTGGTGAAGTAGATCGATGTGTTGGGACATTTGTGAGCTTCGAGCCGTGGGTGTATTCAATTTCAGGTCCTGATCGAGATCAAGACAGATGATCACCGCTGCCAGCAGAAATTCATGGCTCACCAGCGAGACGAAGCGCCAGGTGCTGGATCCATGTCTGCACAGCGTAGTCTGGTGGCGCAGGATCTTTTCTGCGGCTTCGAGACATGCGCTACGGGAGTAGGCATAGCTCGGCTGCGAGCGCGCTGGGACGAGGTAACTTCTGTGGAGCACCATTCGGGCACGATTGATGATGAGATCAATCTCGATGGCCTGATACACCCAAGAGTGCGCAGCTATACTGCCATCGAGGCTGTCAAACGTGGTGAGCCACATTGGCCTGGCGTCGGCAATCTCTGAAAGGCTGCGATCTGTTTCCAGGATATCTTGGTAGGAGAGCCCTTGGGGGCTGTTGATTCTGTCCAGGCAGGATCCTTGCATCTTGAGAATCTTCACCTTGTACTTCATGTACGAAACTCTCGTCGGCTCCGTGTTTGGCCTCGAAGACGGCGGTGGGAATGCGCCCGCTTCCAGGTCCTCGTCATGCAAGTTCATCGGATCCGCCGTGTCCGTCTGCCGTGCGTCGATGACCCGCGGTAGGCCGCATTTCTCGGAGAGGAGAAGATCCATTTGAACAATGAAAGCCCAGATTCTGCGACGCATCTCTCTTTCGAGAAAGTCCATGTCTTTGAACTGTCGCGGCTCGCGGTGGAAGCCAAGGCGGAAGGCGTGCTGGATGATTGTGGTGAATACCAGCCTCGCACCGAAGGAGTTTTCGACGTTTTTGGAGTGTTCGCATGCAAGATACAGGATCTGGGGAGTGTTAGCAGGACGATTGGAGTGCGTATTGAAAAAGACGTACCATTGCTTGGATGGTGTGAGTGTTTGGCTTTGAGGAATCAGACTTGATCAGACACTGTGCAACTCTGGTCGTGTACGTGCGTACGGACGCGTCTGGCAGGAGAATCCCTGGCACCTGCACGCCCAAACGTATCGCACCCATGAGCCCCAAACACATGACGGCGTACAGCAATGCGAGCCATGGCAAAGAGACTCCATTGGGATCGTGCCAGAACGTTTCACATTCGCGCTTGAAAGTCGGAATATGAATTGTGGTCAAGAGCGACGGAATGTCATCATCTGCGAGGATTTCAATCAATGCATCTACGACTTGTCGAGATGGCAAGGAACAGATGAGCTCGGGCATGGAAACGTCGCTGCAGGGGCCGAGCAGTAGGAGAGAGCAGCCGTGAGCCTGCGTTTTCTCGGGAGAGTGGGCAATCCCCGCGAGGTCGCTCTTCAGGTCGGAAATCTGTTGCAGACCATCAGCAGGGCGGTGGTAGTAAGCATGATTTGACCCACCTCATCAAGCACCGTCTCCCAGTGCGACGCTTTCAGAAAACGTACGCCGTCTTCATCGTCTCGCATTCGCGCGTGCGTGTCAGACGCATCACTTGCGGATGCCGATGCGCCACGAGCGTCATCCGGGGATACGACCAGGCTTTTGGATCCGCCGGCCGTTGAGATGCTGGTCATCAGTCGCTCCAGGCGATCGATGCGCGCGTTGAGCCTCACCCCGTCCTTCTTGGGGCGTGTGGGCAGCAGATTACTGGGCACCAGCGGATACGTGCAATCCTCCGGGCACATCGCCGCACACTTGCTGCAAGGCCGTTGACGGTCGCATCGGATTCTGCGTTTGGTCAGTTTGGGGCGGAGATGGTGGAGATGATAACGGTACTTTTTCCGCCGACACGGGTCGCATGCAAGCTGAGCTTTTGGCCGGCTCAGAGTGGAAGATTTTGGCCTCGGAGCCGCGCTGTCGCGGTCGACCGAGGAGGAGGAGGTACGCGGACGGTCGTTCATAGTGGATGTGGGCGTTGCAGAGACGGGCGTGGGCTGAGGGAAATATTCGATGCTCCGAGGGTAATAAGGTAGTTAATAATTAAGCTCCGGAGCCGCGTCGTCGCTTACATCAGATCTCATCAGGCTGGCTTGGCTGGATAGGATTTTGTTAGAGTTTGGTGATTCCATTCGACACTTCACCAGGGGCCGTTTAAGAAGATGCAGGGCTTGGCGTGCTCAAGATCTCCAGTCCTGCGTAAGTTGTACAAGAATAGATTACCAAATACATGAAATAATTCTAAGAAATTGGTAGTATATTGCTAGAAAGTTTTGTGTCACCTACTGACCTCTTCGTTGATCTATTCCTAAATGATTAGCGAAAAGGAAGGAGTATACATGCTGGGACGGATTTCTAGGTAAACCCTACCAAAAACGGCTTAAGCGGAACCCAAAAGTGTTTCGCTTCTTCTCAGCACGCCGTCGCGATGTGCGCTGCCGAATACCTTGCGCTCCCTTTGTAGGGGGCGCACGAGGGCTCTTGTGAAGGCATGGTAGTAAGAATCGCAGGAGAAGGGAGCCGCAAGAAGGGAGGCTTTGGAATGGCTGTCGCCGGCGGCGCAAGACATTGCCGAGCAGTGCGAATGCGATTGCTTACTTAATGGAACGCTGCCGCTCCTCTCTGGGCGATCAAGGCCACGCCACAATACTCGGTCTAGGGCTTTTGTCCATCAGCCTGGAGGCCGACGTCACAGCGTGGCAGCGAACTCACCCTGGGGTGGGAGAATGTGCAGCTCTCCTCGATCTATCACGATGATGTCTACAAAGAGTTCACTTCCAGCCTGCCGAAGATCTAAAAGAGCAGGAGCAATAAGGGTGAAATGACTGAGGCAGAGCCTCGCGAGCTGGGGGTGTCGGTAAAGCGGCGCTTATCCCCATCAAAAGCACGCCAGTCTGCTCACTTACACCTCCGATCTCAGGCCATTGCGGGGCCAAAATCAGTTGGGCGACACATTGATCTATATCATGATTTGATTGATCAGGCGGGAGGGCAGAATACGGTCAAAGAGCGTCTGAACTAATCACTGGGTAGGTATGTTGAATCCCAAACAATGGCCTGTGCCATGTGCATTCTAACGATCAAGTACGAGCGTTGAGGCTGTACTAGTTCGAGCATCACAGTTATTTACAAGGATGATCCGCCTTGTGCGACGAAGTGTACACGTCGAGGTCGTTGTCTTCGACACAACCGTCTGCGAGTCTTGTTAAGAGTTGATCATCGAAGCTCGAGCTGACTGCCGTCAAGGCAAGTCTCATCAATACCGACGACACCACTGCCATCCAAGAAACTCCAGGCACAGGTCATCGGAGCGCAACTCGGGTCGGAGAAGGGCCACGCGACCAGCTCAAGGCTACAGTTGACGCGACGGGAGAGTCCATTACGAACGACAGCCAAGAGCTCATCAACAGCCTGACCACGAAGAAGATACAGCTCGAGACGGAACTCTTCATCTGGAAATCCCGCAGCGAGGGACAGAGCGCCATGCTAGAATGGAGTACGGCCAAGTTGGTGAAATATCGCGAAGTCCACGACTTTGTGCTTGAGTAAGCTTTGCGGATGGAGGACATGGACAGCGCATACAGATGTTCCATCGTCTGCAAGCACCTTCGCCGTGGGATGGCGAAGCCTGCAACAGAGCGCAAGGGGAGTGCAGTCAACGACGGCGAGTTTGGCAAGCGTCTCCGCGATCGACTTGCGTTGTCTGGCGCAGCCTCGCCGCAGTTCGACCTTTCAGACCTAGCGATAGACGAAGTTGACGACGACGCCTTGGAGAAATCATTCAACACCGCCAAAGAGGAATGGGAGACCGCTGAGGAGGAGGCAGACGATGCTGCCATGGAGCTTTGAAGGAGATTGTGGTCAGGCTTGTCGCCAGCGGAGACATTTGCATCCTCGACGTTGGAGTCGATGGCAGGGTGCGAGTCAGCGCTGGGTCTACGTAGCATGAATGATGAATTGATACGATCCTCGGGAGATCGTGTTCCCCGCCACCTCCCACCATCCGTGCATTGTCTTGACATAGAGCTATGCGAAGCACTTTGAATGATGTCGCGGAAGGAGGAACGGCGGTTGTTTGACAGCCTTGCGGAGGAGTTGAGGTTCGGCGGCAATTCCGACGCGGCGCTGCATCCGCCCCCGCGTACTCTCCCACAAGTTATCAACAGCACGCTTCACTCATCCCCTCCTCCATCTCGCTATCCATCCCAGCCTCCACCATGCCGCCGCTTCCTACTCCCGCCGCCCTGCTGCCAGCGAGCTGAAGACTGGCGTTCGAGATGCCGCCAAGTCAATACAGTGCCGATGTCGATCGGAGGCTACTCGAGGAGATGGCCATGAGCCTTGAATGCGGCCGACGCATGGAGGCAGGATGAGCCGACTTCTTGTCCGCCTTCTCGCCGCCGCATCCATTCTACCAACGCTGCCTGTCTCGTGGCCACTTTCCCTTCACCTTGGCGAACCCTCCGCCGCAATTGCAAGGCCGTTGAAGAGATCGGGCACACAAACGCCGTCTGAGCAGCATGGCCCAGGAAGACTCCTCGCTGCACCCTTCGCCTCCTGCCTCCTCATCCTGCCTCCTCATCCTGCCTCCTCATCCTGCCTCCTCATCCTGCCTCCTCATCCTGCCTCCCCAATCTGCCTCCCCAATCTGCCGCTCCCGCAAGTCAGCCGCAGAGATTGCGCACAAGACGGCGCCGATGACTACAACTCGTCCCGAGAGAGAGCGAAGTTGCCGCGCGATCTTCCAAGCCACTACAGATGAAGAGATGGTCGGGGACACCACTGAAGTCATGACTTCGCACGCTAGCGCAGGCCATTGGGTGTGGGGGATGGAAAGAGCGTAGACGCATACCGAACTGGAGGGCGGAGAAGAAGTCAAAAGAGATTGGCTGGGCAACACCGCAGCATTCGTCTTCCGCAGCATTGCTTGCCCCAGCGCATCACCCACCTCACCGGCATCAACCCTCCGGGGCCTTGGGTTAGGGTTAGGGGTCCATATGCAATGTTATCCTAACTGCTATAGGGATTACGCTCCAACCTGACTCCGCTGGTCTGCCTGTAGGCTCATCGCAAAGCCATACCTCGAAAGGCAGCCTAACTGTATCTACATTGGAGTTTTTAAAAAACTCCATAGAAAATCTACTAAAACCTCCAAGTTTTTTTAAAAAGTAAAATATAAATGGAGTTTTTAAAAATATTAGTTTATAAAGATAGGATTTATAAAGTAAAGAGATTAAAAGAATAGATTTTATAAAAACTCCTTTAGTATTATAAGAATTTAGATCTATTTATTTATTTTAGTTTAAAGAAATCTAATAGACTTAAAAAGTTAGAAGCTAGTTAAAGTACATTCGAAAACCCTTTTAGCTTAAACTTTAAATAAATTTAACTATAATAGTTTCTTTTAATATTATTTTAGTTTTATTTAATTAATAAAAGAAAACAGAAAGAAAAGAAGAATAAGTACTTATTTAAAAGATTAGGATAAGAAAAGTTAAAAAAAAACTTTAATAAAACTAAAATAGTTATTTTAAGTAATTAAAGTGTTTTAAGTTTATATTAGAGTTTAACTAAGAGAAAAAGAATATATAAGAAAGCTCTTTTTATTTTATCTTTGTCTTTTCTTTTATATCTACTTTAAACTACTTTAATTATAACTAACTATTTAAAAATGGATTTAATTACTTTAAATCAATTACTTATAAATAATAAAGATTATATTAAAGGAGATTCTTATAATAATTCTACTATTATAGAAAGTACTTATACTAATAATATAGAGAATACTATTCTAAATTATAATATAGAAATTAAAGTTTTATTTTGTACTATTTGTAAAACTAATCTAGATAGAAATAACTATTTAAAACATTTAAAAGATAAACATTTTACTATTTATAAAAGTTATAAAGAATCTTCTAAATTAGAAGTACTTAAAACTAATATAGAAGAACTAGAATTTAATGACTTAGCTAAATTAGAAGATATTTTAAAGCCTAATCTATTTTACTTTAAAGAGTTAGATTTAAATTTAAAAGGATATAAATGTATAGAATGTAATTATATTAATATTAATTATAAAGAAGTTAGAATTCACTTTAATACTAATCACTTTAATAGTAATAAAAGTAGTAAATCTAAAGTAAACTATATTATAAATCAGGTTCCTTTACAATATATTAAAGGTAATAATAAAAATACTAAACTATACTTTATACCTAAAATACCTAATATAAGTAAAAAGAATACTAGTACTAACTTATATATTAACTCTAATAGTTCTAATTCTAGTATAGAATCTATTACTTCTAAAAAGTCTAATAGTTCTAAAGAACTAGATTTAAAAGAAGATATTATAAAAGATTATCTTAAAGAGAATTTAGAAGAGAATAAACTAAATAATAATATAAATATTAATAATAATAGACTTTTAAACTCTTATATTAAGAAATCTAATATTTATATCTTTTTAAAAGATAAAGATAGAGAGTCTTTAGTAAATCTAGTATATAATATTAAAGAAGAAGATAAAGATCTAAGTGTTTTTAATAGAATAGACTATAATAAATTAGAAGATATTATTATAGATTGTTTACTTTATATACATTCTAAAATCACTAATATAAGCTTAGGATTAAGACAAAAGCTAAATCAAAATAATAGTAGTAATACTAGAGTATTTAAAGACTTTATACCTTTAGAGAATAAGTCTACTACTAAGACTTACTTTACTTATTATGCTAAACTACTTAGCTTTATTATTAAAGTACGTTATATTAAAGGGAAATATAAGAATACAATAGGTAAAGAAAGAACTTACTTTGATTTAGTAAAGAACTTTACTATTAACTTAGAAGCTAAAGAAGCTTTAAAGAATATTATTCCGTTTAACTTAGATTTAATAGATTTAGAAGATAAAGAACTAACTAAAGAGAAAGAAGAGTTTTATACTTATATTATAGAGTTTTACATTAGTTTACTTAAAGATAATACTACTTTAACTTTAGATAATAATACTAGTTTAAATAATATAGTTCTAAGCTACTTCTTTATAACTAATCTAGATATTAATACTAAAGAGATTAAAAATATAGATCTAATAGGAAAGCTTACTAGTTATATTCTTTATAATAGTAAACTACTTACTATAGGATATTTCTACTTTAAAGAGTTAAATAATATAAAGTATACTTATAATGATTTTAATGATTTTCTTTCTACTTATTTAACTAATAGTTCTAATAATTACTTTGAATTCATTAGTATTCTAAGGCCTTATCTCTTAGCTTTAAATAAAGAAAGAGAATCTACTAATTATATTATAAAAGAAACTAGTTTAAATATTATAGAATATAATACTATAGAGTATTCTATTACTAAGATTAAAGAGCTCTTTAAGAATGTTTATATTAATTTAGAAGATATTTTACTAAAGAAGCTTTTAAAGATAACTTCTATAGATTCTTTAGATATAGACTTTAATACTATAAATGATAATACCTTTATAAGTAATATAGATTATTATATAATAGATACTTTAGAATTAAAATATCTTAAAACTAATAGGCCTTACTTTTTAACTCAATTATTAACTAAAGGAACCTATTATAATAAAACACTATTAAAAGATATAAAGAAAGATACTAAGACTTTAAGATTTAAAGATACTAATATAGAAATATTTAATACTAATATTAATAGGTTTTTAGAATACTTAACTCTCGCTATTTATTTATATAGCGGAGGTCCTTTAAGAGGAACCGAATTAACTACTATACTTTATAAGAATATAGAAACTAAAACTAGAAGTCTAATATATAATAAAGAAGATAATACCTTTATAATTTCTACTAATTATAGTAAGACTAATAATATTACTAGGAAGAATAGAACAAATATACGCTATTTACTGCCTTATTTAAGTAAACTATTAATTATATACTTAGTATTAATAATACCTTTTAAAGATTACTTATATAAAACCTACTATAACTTTAAAGACTATTCTAGTCCTTATCTATTAACTAAAGATAATAAAGTAATAGAAAGTAATACTATTAGTAGGATCTTAAAGAGAGAATCTAGTTTATTATTTAAAGAAGGTTTAACTATTAAATCTTATAGAAAGATTATTAATTATATAATTAA